AATCCAATCGATCTCAAATGTCAAACTCCATAGCGTATACGTCAAAAAATATCCAATTGATTTTATTAATACGATTTACGTTACGTATACGCTATGGAATTGACATTTGAAATCGAGTGAATTTAGTAGTCTAAACGTTCTTTAACCCATGGCACAGTAATTGAGGGTGAGATAAAAAAATGGCAGATCATCACTTTCGGCCAAGCGAGGCAGCTCTGTTGCGGTGTAAGTTCTTGCACTTTTTGTCGAATGGAATATTGCGATATGTTCAGCACACGAGAAATTTTTCGGCCACTGCGACGCGGGTTTCGATGAAGTCGCTTCTTTACTTTTCGGGCTACGCTACATATCACAGTATCACTGTAACGAGCGATGGTAAGAGACACAAAAGATTTATTCACATTTAAATGCTGGAGTGCTCTTCCGATACCCACTTGTGGTTTTCCCAGCCAAATATAAAGAAATCACACTATCACGCTTCTTAAATTCCATCACGAATAACTTTTTTTTCTGGAAAATTCTCACCAAAATGCTTTTGTACGCTTTTAAAAATATAATGAGCTGTCACTGGAATAATTTTAACAGCTGACGGATGAGTGGCTAGGTAATGACAGCAGTCTGAAGTTGGTTGCAGTTGTTTCATCTCATGCCAGTGTTATCAATTTTTATTGAATGACAACACTTTGTCACACTGGTGTGTACAATTTAAAATTTTGACATATCAATGTTCCCAAGCATTGGTGCATTGATTGATAAAATTTAAGCTTTTTTGTTTTTGAATTATGTGGCAACTCCCATAAAAAATTAGCTTAGAGCGACTTTTATTTTGTGGTAAAAATTTAGTACAACGCCTAAAGGATTTCTGTCTGACATAAGTCACTGACCGATTTTTTCGTAAAATTCGACCAAAAGACTTATGCTCACCGACATAGTCAATTTTGAACTTAAAGATTCTTTTTTTTAGTTTATGTCTATTGGTAAAGGACCAAGTTCTTTTTCTTTGAAGTTCTTTAAAAAAATTCTCGTATTTGTTTTTTTTTCAATTATATTTCGTTTTATTTGCAAGACTATTCTCAGTTTGACGTGTCGCCATGCCACCTTATTTTAATTTTCTATTTATTGGTAAAGGACCAAGTTCTTTTTCTTTGAAGTTCTTTAAAAAAATTCTCGTATTTGTTTTTTTTTTTTTTCAATTATATTTCGTTTTATTTGCAAAAGATTATTCCCAGTTTGACGTGTCGCCATGCCACCTTACACTTGCAATTATAGATTGCGTTCGGCGGAGAGAGAGAGAGATAGACTGAAAACAACGGTTGTTTTGATTATTTCTTTAAATTGTTTGTTTATCTGTCAATAATAGTAGCAATCAGCTAATTTATGATTCCCAATCTATTTTAATTTTATCTTATATCTATTTGATTCACATTTATATTTATAAACCTTTCGTTCGTTGTTGTTTGCAAGAAATAGGAAAACAACAACAACATACCTACTTATTTATGACATTTTAACACAAAATTTTATAATAGCCACCTCTACATTTTATTAAACAACAACAACTAGAAACAGATACAAGAATAAAAGATGAATCAAAATTTGCTGTTGCTGCTGTGCTGCTACTTGTTTGTTTGTCAATCTGTCTGCCATTCGTTGCTTCTCAAAAATTCCTAGCACGTAACTGAATGCAATGCAACGTGATAAGCGTTTTTCTATAACGTGTCTTGTTGTACACTGGGAGCTGTTGCTGCTGCCTGCCTGACTGCCTACTACTGCTGTTGTTGTTGACAGTGTTGCTTCATAGTGCAAACGACAACAGTGGTGGTGGCGGTGATGATGATGACGACGGCGTTGATATAGTTATTGTTGACAACAACAACAAAAAAACTAAACTCATGAGAAAAATGTAGTTCATTGGCGAGAGGAATTTTTGACGAAAGCACAGGCGGACACTAGCTATCAGCAGCAACCCCACTGTCAGCTGCAGCAATGATGTGAATAACGTATACACTCCTAAAAGTTCCCCTACTTTTTACTTTTTTTATTAGCAAACATATTTATGTACAGATATGTGTGTGTGTGTGTGGTAGCATTGGGCCGTAGTAACCACAACGTGCCCCCTTTTTTCTCTTTCATGTACATACACACGTATGCACTACTCTCACTACTACCACCCATATGAGAGTATAATTCTATTGTTGTTGTCAGATATTTTAATTGTTTTTTATTTAAATGTTGTGATGGGGGGTACATAAACAAATGTCATCAAAATCTACCAAAAATATTTTCTTTTTTTGGAAAAAATATTTACTGTGTTTTATACTTTTTCCAAGTTCCGTGCATTCCCCTTTTCTCCAAGAATGCTAGTTTTTATATGAAAATACACTGATTTTAGTGAATTGGACTTGCCAACTCTGGCTACTGGGATTTTATGACAACAACAATTTGAAGCAATTTTAAAATTCTTAGTCCAGATTTAGACTACGCATTTTTACTTGCGTCAATATTTATGGTTCTCTTTTACACTTGCTTCTCTTGCATTAATACAAGGCAATCTCTTTTCATTGTCTTCTCTATGTAGATGGCATTCAAGTTTTAGCATAAAAAAACAAGTAAAAAAGCTGTAAGTTCGGCCGGGACGATCTTTGAATACCCTTCACCATTTGGAACGATTTTGGCAATTTTCAAAAAAAAAAAAATAAAATCCGTTAAAAATTCTATTAAAATCTTAAAATTACCGAATGTAGGCGTTTTATTAGGGTCTATACGAAGACGTGGACCTGCATACAATATTCAAATGCGAAACTTGAATAAAAAAATCGATGAATAATGTAGCTAAAATCATTCGAATATAAGGAGGTACCGTTATATGAGGGCTATACGAAGACGTGGACTTGCACAGACTATTTTCTGTCATAGGCTGTAGTATCCGTTACGATCTTCAAATACCAAATTTGAAGCAATTCCGATTAATAATGTCGCTGAAATCATAAAAATACCCAATATCGGGAGGTACCCTTATATTGGGGCTACACGAAGACGTGTTCCTGCACAGACAATTTTCTGTCATAGGCTGTAGCATCCGTTACGATCTTCAAATACTAAATTTGAAGCAATTCCGGTGAAAAATGTCCCTAATATCATAAAAATACCGAATATCGGGAGGTACCCTTATATTGGGGCTATACGAAGACGTGGACCTTCACAGACGATTTTCTGTTAGAGGCTGTAGCATCCCTGACAAACTTCAAATACCAAATTTGAAATAATTCCGGTGAATAATGTCCCTGATATCAAAATTCCGAATATAGGGAGGTTCCGTTATACTGGGGCTACATGAAGACGTGGACTTGAACAGACAATTTTCTGTCAGAGGCTGTAGCATCCCTGACGAAGTTCAAATACCAAATTTGAAACATTTCCGGTGAATAATGTCGCTTAAATCACCAAAATACCGAATATCGGGAGGTACCATTATATGGAGACTATACAAAAACGTGGACCTACATGGCCCATTTTCAATACCAAAAGTCCTGCAGACATAACACACATTTGAGTAAATTTTTATCAACCTACTTTATTTTGTTCGGAAGCTAGAGTGATTTCCACAGACGGATAGACGGACGGACATTGCTAAATCGACATCGAATTTTAGAATTGCCGCAAGTAAACTAATGAAATTGGTTTTTGGTTACTTGTTTCTCACTTGTTTTAAGGCCGCTTATCATTTTTTTTTTCTTGCAATTCAAAATCGTACTATTCAGACTAACCATCCCTGGGCATTGGCATTTTCACCGTACTTGTCAATTGAATAAAAGGGAATTTATACAAACCCTTCACTCTTCTAATTTGCAAATTCTTTTCTTTTTTTCATTTAATTGTTGCCATTTATGTGTGGCCGCCGTATATTTTTCCCGTTCTACGTTGTATGCGTTGGCAATTAGAACAAACAGCTGATTTCTGTCAAAGTTGTGTTGTGAGAGTAGCAATGAGAGTAATTCTTAACGAGTAGATGATTTCTCTTCTATCCATCAGCAGCAGCAGCGCAATCAGACAACTGCTGTTGTTGTGTCGTCTCGTCTCATCACCCACCCTTCACTCCTTCTGTGCCTCTCTCTTATTTCTTGTCATTCTCTCACTACTTGAAACAGATAAAGGAGGAAAATAAGTAAATTTTGTTGTTTTTATATTATTATGGCTTTGTCAAAAAGATGAAATCTGTTAAAAGAACCGAACCACCTTATGAAATATTGTAACGAATTGACAAAAGTTTTTTTTTCTGTTTTTTTTTTTTGCCAACCAAAAATCAATGAATGTGTGTTTATGTTTCGTTTGATGTAAACTTGTTTTGTTGAAATCCACGTAATAAAAGCGATAACATCCTGGTTGAAAGCAAAAAAAAAAAAAATAATACAGACAGACTACCGACCGACCGACCAAGAAGAAGAAGAAAAGGCAAAACCCAACGAACAACTTATTGTGTGGTATGCTTTGGTGGGGTTTCGTATCATTTTTTTGCTTTCATTTTGCTTTGAATTGCTTGTGTCGATGTCGAGTTGTTGGTGTGTGTGTCGTTTTTTTTTTTTCTTTTATTTCTTGAAAAAAATGTAGCGAGAAACGACAACGACGACGACACAATGACGAGTAGTAAACAGCAAATCATAAGCAAAAGATGTACGAATAAAGTGGAAAAAGAAGGGAGGTGAATAATACAGAGACAGACAGACAGACAGAGATACTCAACAGTTCAATTAATGGTGGTAGTGGTGCCAGAGTGGTTTCTGCTGTTTAAGGTGATAATGGTGTGTGGACTAATTTTTTATTAAAAAAAAATAATAAAATCAAATTTAAAATAATATCTTTGGATTTTTTACAACAAAAAGAACAACAACTTTGTAGCAGAAATAAATAATTTAAATAAAATTATTGCAAATGTGAACGAAAAGAAATTATTTGTTAATTTTTTTTCCAACTGCCTATTGAATTTTTTCTCGCAATCTCAGAAAAAACAAGGTGAAACCAAGTGAAAAGTTTTATTTAAAAAAAAAAAGTGATGAAGTAAAAAAACCCAACAAAATGTGACAACAATTTTATGGAAATTAAGAAAAAATGTCAAATGTGAAATAAATGGAAAATTAAAAAAAAAAAGAAATAATACATTGACGACGACAGCGCACACATAAAAAAGCAACGAAATTTATACATTTTCTTTATGAAATCGAACGAGCAACGGTAGTTTCAACGAGTTGAAGTAAGACACAAAAAAGTGATCATTTCAAAAACAGCTGAGTTTCTCTCTCACTCTCTCGCTCTTGTTGCTTGGCAAACAAAAGGCAAAATCGTTCGGAATTGTTCTCTTCGTGTCATAGAAAACAATAGAAAACGCAAGTGCTATATGAACGAAAAAGTCAAGTAAAAAAAGAGAAGAAGAGAGCCCAAAGTAGATTTTTGAGAGAGTGTGAGAGCATAAAATAGATTTGCAAGTTCCGTAAACATTCCATCAAAGTATCTAATACAAAACAGCAGCGCGGCTAGCTAGCTTATCAGATAAAAGTGAGAATACGAGAAACAAGAAAAAAAAATATACAACGAATACATGACACAAGTGTGGGGAAAACAAAAAGAAATACAAAAAAAAAAATGAAATTTAAAGTGATTGAAGAAAAATTAAATATATAATATTTGTGCAGATTAATAAGCAACGTTTTTCATTTATAGTTCAAATCAATTTTGTCACAATCTACTACCACCATCATCTACTATTACACACGTCAGAGATATTGGCAGCAAAAATAAGTTGTGAATAACAATATATGGAATTTTTTCTTCTTCTTCTACTCAACAACCTTATGAACGTCGTCCTCTCACAACAATTTACTTAGGCAGCAAAGCAACAACAATATACGTCATCATCTGTGCAAGGTCTAATAAATTAAGCTGAAGAGGAATTCAACATAAAACACGTCCAAAAATAAATATCAACGCAACAATAACAACAACAACAGCACCTACAAAATTATCATCTTAAGAGCATTTTCAACAAAACACAGAAAACAGCAACAACACCAACAAAAAAAAACCTTGTAATTGAAAAATAAAAAGGGAAAGCAACTACTCTAAAATGTAACCAGATACAACGATAGCATAACAACAACAACAACACCAAACATTAGAAATTGCAGCAGTTGAAAAATATTGCTGCCTGCCAAACACAACATCGCAGTACACATCCATAGCGAACCAACAATCTAGAAGGAAAAAGAGTAAGCATTAGTTCGTTCTCCCCTCCCCTATGTATGGAATAAAATATTTACACAAAAAAGTTACTCGATTTGAAGAAAGAAAAATATTTTCATCGTCATGCGTTAATTGTTTATAACTAATACAATTATTTGCTTAAATTTTGTATTCTTTTTATTTATTAGTTTGAAAGAAATACTTCACAATGTCTATCAGGTGAATTTGTAGTGAACAGCTGTTTTTTTTTTCTATTCTCTTTATTCTCTTTTGTCATACATAGAACAGTGTATGCGTCACAGTGTTGCATTTGCAATGGGACTGAGTTTAAATGAAAACTTCCAGCCTAAAGCGTTTCGCGTAAAGTGGTGGTTTGACAGAAAATTAATAATAAAATATAAACATTAATCATTTTAAGTAATTAGAAATTATAGCGATACAAAAAAAGGAAAAATTTAGGAAATATACACCTATAGGAGATGCAGAATTTTTAAAATTTTCATCCATAAAGTAAAAGTAAAAAAAAAACTACCTTTGTTGTCCTTGATTTAGGTGAATTCAATATTTTTATGTAAAATAATGACATAGAAACCAATAACTTCATGGAAATACTCCTGTGTAGCGTGTGACTTTGCAAATACAGGGTGAGATAAAAAAAATATTCAACAAAGTCAAACGCCATAATGTTTACATTTTTTTTTAATTTTTTTTTTTAAATGAAAGCAAAAAATTTCGGAAGTAGCATCAAATTTTAGAATAAGTTAAGATTGGTTCGAATTGGTCACCTTTGGCACGATATATGGCCTTCAAACGGCCATTGAAACCGTCACACGCTGCCCAAATGTTGCTCTGCAGTATTTTTGCCCATTCCCGGCGATGTGCTCGACACTTTGATATTTTTTTAGTGCCAACCTTGCTTTTCAAAATACTCCAAACACAATAGTCCAACGGAAAGGTATCCGGAGATTTTGTTGGGCTGAAAATGAAGCGAGGAACCTCATGTTGTAACCATTCATGGCGCGTGCTGAGTGCGATGGAGTCCTGTTGGAATGTCCAAGGACTGCGGCCAAAATGTTTGCGTGCCCAAGGCTTTAATACACCCTTCAGAATATTTTCGCGATAATATTGGGTATTTATTTTGATGCCACGGTCGATTAATATGAGCGGAGAGCCACCATCGGCTGTTATGGTGGCCCGCTCTTTTGAATCTATTTTCTTTCTATTGCGGTGTAAGTTCTTGCACTTTTTTGGAATTTCAATAGCTTTACCACCCCGAGCTCATTTTCAATATTTGCCGAATGGAATATTGCGATATGTTCAGCTCACGAGCCATTTTTCGACCACTGCGACGCGGATTTCGATCAAGTGGCTTCTTTACTTTTCGAACCATTCTGCTGATTCCACTTCCTTGACGTTGGGCATGGTTACCAGTATCACGGTAACCAGCGATGGACGAGACACAAAAGATTTATTCATATGTAAATGCTGGAGTGCTCTAACGCTAGCCTATTGTGGTTTTCCAGCCAAATATAAAAAATCACACTATTTTTTGGCATTCAAATTCAATCCGCACATCAGATTTTATTTATCAGAATTATTCACAAATCGTTGATGTTCCAATATCTTGCCCACATACCACATGTTTTTTGATCTAAATTAAAATAAAAAACTGAGTATTAATGCTTTGGCAAAAATAACGCCAAACGTTATTTATCTGCATTGTGCGTTAACGCTTAACGTTCACTGTGATTGACAGACAAACCGCCCACAAATACATGTAGGATCAGCTGATTTTCTTCATATCAAGTTCATGTTACCTGCAAAAATTTTTGATTTATTTATTGAAAACTGTGTTGTTTTTGTAAATAAATAATCTACAAGTTTATATAATTATCAATACACACACATATATATGCATTTGTGAAATCTATATCACTTTCCATCAAATCAAAACCGCCTTACAATACCATCAAAAACTGCATTTGACATTTGTCATATTCTCTTTATTTTTTATTGATGTGATGGTAGTGAGAGTGATAAAATTGAGAGCCGAAGAAGAAGAAAAAAAAAACAGAAAATAAACTGCAAAGTTGTCGTCGTTGGCTGTCATCGTTTCTTTATACATTTTTTGTGTTACCTCTTTCCACTTGAATAACAAAAGGAGCAGAAGCAGCTGAATAGAAATTAACAAAATTCTACCACCACCATCACAACGTCAACGTTGGTGTTACGTTGTGAGTTTGTTTTATTTTGTGTGTTTCTGCTATGATCAATTTCGGGCAAGTGATACAGCTCACGTACCCATGTACCACCGACCCGACCGTTCATCCATACCACATACCCACATGTACAAACACAAAACGTACACACATATGGACGCGACAGACGACATTTGTTTGTTGTACCTTAACATGAATGAATATTATATATTTATTAGTATGTGGTATTGTTTGTTGTTGTTGTTGTTATTGAGAGTATTATGACCATTATATGGATGGATATTTGATTGTTGCGCTGGTTGGTGGTTACACAAAACAATCTGCATATGTGTGTAGTTTATGATTAAGAAAAAGAGGAAGGAAGAAGTAGTGGAAAACAATAAAACGGCATAATTCTTCATAGTTGGGATTGTTTATAAGGCGTCTTGCATCCGAGGCTTACGCAGAAGTAGGAGAAAAAGCAATTCGTAATATATACTATAAATTACTACATATTTTATTTTTCTTTGCAATTTGTCATTTTTATGCAAAAAGAGAGGATGCTAAGAATTCTACTGTCAGATTATACACCACAGAGTAGTATTCACCAAACGGCGGCGGCAACGTATAGCGCCCCCCTAAGTGGGGTACCTTAGATGCAACATGTGGCAAAATAAACAATTTTAAGGGACATATCATAAATAAACTCTGCATATAGTATTAATAATATTATGTAGGGTTAGTAGACCCCTCCCTCCCCCATTTAACCAAATATCGCACAACTACAGGTTCGTTGAAAAAAAAAAAAAACTCGTTTAATATAACCAATACACACATTACACATGCACACACACACACTAGTGAATAACTAAAAAAAATGAAGGCAAAGAAACGAAAAATGACCAACTAAAATAAAATTAAACGAATAGCAGAGTGAATTCCATAAAAAAGCAAAAACATTCAAAATTCAATATGTTTTACTATCCACCACGACGTCGTTCATGCCTACCTTAACCCAATTCATTAACCAAAAATTATTATTTAACTAGGTACCTATAAAAAATAGAAATTGCTACTTTTTGTTGTTGTTGTTGTTGTTTTGTTTGAATCATCGTCACTCCCCCTCTCCTAGTCAGCCACAACTCTCGTTTATTTGAATAATAGGTACAAATCTATTTTTAAACAACAGTTATAAATGTTTGCAGTTTCGTTTACTTTGGCCAATGTTGACCATTTTGAATTGTTTTCAAACTCCTATTGTTCGTAATATATGTATGTGTGCGTGTGTGTGTATTTTTTCTTAGTTTGGAACACCTATACCCATAAGAAAACAAGTAAAATAGGACAGAAACCAGTTTTAAACACTAATATTACGTACGTATGTTCGTTCATACGTACCCAGTGACCCAAAAGAAGGTTGAATCTATTTCTACAGAAATTCCACCTAACCACCAATGATCAAAAATAGGTATTCTCAATTAAACTCTTGAAAATTTAAACGATAATATCGTACAGAGATCGTTAGAAGATTTGGTAGCATTTATTAAACCATGCTTATCCGGGATACGTTATTAAGCAGTAAATTGTAGATAGAAGATGAGAAGAGAGAGAGGACCATTTTTCTTGAAAGTTGTGTGTGCATTGCGAATTTTTTCTATATGTCATCTAATCAAGGGTTTATTTCCCTTATTTGATAAAATTTGACATTTCTAATTAGGTCTTAAAGGAGTCTATGCAGTAGCTAATCGATAGTTTGACAGTTGCATTGATCGGAAGATGGCCTGAGAGACACGCCGAGCTAGTTTTACCAGCCGTCTTGGTCATTTAGGAAATTCTTATTATCGGACTGTAGATCCCTTTATTAAGACAGCTTTGATCGATTTTAAAGCTATGAAGAAACTAATCGGCAGTTTGAGTGTCACATTGATTGGAAGATAAAATGAGGTAAAGTGACTTTTCTCCAATGATTCTCAAACGACGTTTCGCCAAAACAAAACAAAAAAAAATAATTAATTAAATAATAAGTAAATAAAAAGTAAAAAAAATTAACAGCATTTAGCTAATCGACAGTTTGAGAGTTGCATTGATCGGAAGATTAACTGAGGGACACCCCGAGCTAGTTTTAAAGAACCAAGACGGCTACTAAGGTCCTTTAGTAAATTCTTATTATCGGACTGTAGATCCCTTTATTATGACAGCTTTGATTGATTTTCGATTTATGAACTAATCGGCAGTTGGAATGTCGCATTGATTGGAAGATAAATTGAGGTAAAGTGACGTATTCTTCAATGACGTTTGGCAAAAAACAAAGAAATAAATAAAAAAATACAAATAAATACACTTTAATTATTGAAAAAAAAAAATTTTTTTTTCTTCGAAATCGAGTAACATTTTCTGTGGTAAATATTAGTTAATGGAAGCACACAAAAATTAAATAATTTTAAAATTTCCAGCTCTGTTTAAAACACAACTCTCAAATCAAAGAATACTCTACGAGAGCAAATATCTACCACACACAAGAGCGAAAGACGTATAGTTCATCGAGGCTCGCTCAGCAACAGCAAATTATCACACACAGAACAAAGGGCAATCAACGTGAGAAGAAGCTGCATCCCTCCCTCCCTCCTCTAGCCACTCTTTAAGAGATGTAAGGGATACACCAACAAAGGTCATTCCGCAAGCGAGAATACAATATACTACTACTACTCCTACTATTATACGTCCACCAAAAAGGAAGAGAGAGAGAGAGAGTATAGTGCGCGCCATTCACACACAAAAAGAGCACAACTCACTTCCACTCACATTTTTTCACATCATCATCAGGAGCAGAGAGAAAAGAAGAAACCAACTGGATTTTCTTCATCATCTGCTTCCTTGGAAAGAATATAAATAAATAATTATAGAAAGAATCACAGTGTCAAACACAAAAATTTTAAGAAAAAAGACGAATTCTAGACTTTAGACGATTTTACAAAAACAAAACAAAGCTCCCGCCCTAAAAAGAACATAACACCACAGTCCAGAAGCTAAAGAAGAAATTTTACTTCCACGTTAAAGAAAAACGCAAGCAAGCAAACTAAAATCTTCCCTCTAAAAAAAACAACACATTTTGTTTTTATTATTTGATTCGTTTGTTAAACATCTATGTAAATATAAATTTATTTTTTGTTGAACGTAAACCTATCAACATTAACAACAACAAAGCGGAAGACACCGCTCAACTAAAAATATTTTAAGGAAAAACTATTTGCCGCCGCATCAACCGCCGCCGTCGTCGTCGTTGTCAGGTGTTACCTCTACTGTCTTTAATATAACTACTGTTCATTGCCGTCGCACTCGAACTCGCACGCCGTTGCCATCGTCTCGTCCCAATTCTATTACGCCTGCGTCTTACGCTGAGGCGTTATGACAAATTCGATTGCGTCCGCAAAATGCCCGTCTGTCCTAACGTCCGGCAAATATGGTATGTCACAGCAGCGCAGCATTATCGATGATTCCAAAGAGTATATGTTTGTTAAGCTTACCGATTCGGCATCTCGTGCAATTGAAGCATACCAACGCAACCTACAGGCCAAACGTTTACAGGCAGGACAATGCGCCACAATACAATTCCTGGGCAATGGTGGCATCATACAAATTCCCACAGCCGACGGTGGTGGCCCCACGGCCGAGGGAAGTAAATTCGTCTTTGCCATTGACGATGTTGAGGGCTCCTTGGAGTGTATTCAACAGGCTGGAGCCGATTTGGATGTGCTCGGCACCCTCAACCATCGGATGCGCATACATGCCAACGATGATGTCTACGATACGACACGAACAAAAATGGCCATTGCCGAGGAAACGGAGAAGAGCAAATGTATACGGGAGATCAAGCCGAACCAGACAGACATTGGACGGAAGGTGAAGAGGCCCGTTTCCGCTGCCTCACTGCAAGCCTACACAAATGGCAGCAGTAGTAGCAACGGCAACAGCAGCAACCACAGTAGTAGCAACAATCTTAGTAGTAATCTTAATGGCAGCAGTAGTTATTTAAGCAGCATTAGTAATAATCATAGTCGTAATAAGTTGTCAGCGGCAGCAGCATCAGTAACGCTCAATCAACATTCACCACCTGGTGGTGGAGGCGGTCTGAGTAATGGTTCTTCATCGCGTCTCCTAAGCAACAATTCAAAATCATCGCCAAATCCTAGCCTGATGGGAGGCAATGGAACGATTGGCAACAGCAATCATCATCAACAGCATCAGCGCTATGGAAGTCCCTCAAATTTCAATTCATCCTCGAATGGTCTGCCCTCCCTGGCTGGTGGTGGTGGTGGTATGATGGCTAATGGCCACGATAGCAATTCCCCACCCACAATGATGGGTGCCGGGGGCCAGCAAAAGAAAGCCTTGGTTGGTAACAATGGCAGAAATTTGAATAACGGTGGTGCCGGCGCCAAGGCATCGGCTCAAAAATCTGGTGCCTCTGTCAATGGTAATAGTAAAACGGCCGATGTGTCGCGGCGCAAAATTCGTGAACGTCTTATCCACCTGTTGGCCCTGAAACCCTTTAAGAAACCCGAACTGTACTCGCGTTTGCAAAACGAAGGACTGGCGCCCAAGGAACGCCAACTTATTAGTAACATACTCAAAGACATATCGACATTGTCGCGGGACAATACCTATAATTTGAGGCGTTCCATGTGGAATGATGTTGATGAGAATTGGCCATTTTTCACGGAACAGGAGATACAACAGCTGAAGAGACGGAAGCCGCAGAATTTGACACCACCCAATAGCTCAGATGCCGGTAGTTCGATATCGGGACAAAGTCCCACATCATCGACACATACGGGGAGTCCACCACCGGCCACCATGACAAATGGTATTGGTGGTGGTGGTGGTGTTGGTGGCGGTCTAAAGCGTGCTAGTCTGGAGCCAGATTTATACGATGGGGCTTTAACCCTGGCGGGTCAAAGTAAAAAGCAACGTATTAGCCATTACAAAAGGGACGCCATATCATCCTCCAACTGTAATGGCTTAAATGGTTTGGGCGCTGGCGCAAGAATGACCGCCTCCGGTTTGGGCAATGCCGCCAACTCCTCCTCTAGTAGTGCGTACAGCAGCAACAACAACACTAATCATCGAACGTCATCATCTTCCGCCTCGGCTTACTCGCCACAAAACTACAACTCTGCCCATAGCAATAATAACAACAACCACAACAGCAATGCCACCACAAGTGGCCATGATGAGAATTCTGGTAATTCCGATCTAACATTTAATGTGCTCAACAATATGGATGATTTTATACAACAACACACAAATGGTGCATCAGGGGCGGCGGCAGATCAGCCAAGCTATGGCCGTAGCAAAGCCAGCAAGTCGACGAGTAGCCAGGCAATAGGCTCCTCCTCCTCCCTGTCATCATCTGCCATATCTTCCAACACCAATACCACCTTGTCCTCCCAAGCATCAGCCACAAAAGAGAAACGAAATTCCAGCGGTAGCACATCGAGTGGCTATGGTAGCAGTACATCTTCCAGCAATCGGGAAGCAGCGTCATCATCGTCGTCGTCATTGGGCGCCAATATGCGACGCAACAATTCCCCCACGCCATATGCAAATAATTTTGTGCCTGAAAGTAAGATAACATCCAATGGTAGTACCAGCAGCAGCGGCGGTAGAGATAGATATCATCATCAAATGCAACAGCAGCAGCAGCAAAGACAACAACGCCAACCCTCAACTTCCCCAAGTTATGGCAACCATGTACCGCCGCCTAAACTCAATGGAGTTGGTAACAGCAGCAGCAGCAGTGTCATACCAAACCTTACTGAAAACTATAAAACGTCAGCTTCCTCGTCCACGTCCTCTTCTAGCCGTTCTCGTCATCATACTTCCTCCTCTTCCGGCCGTAATGGTAATATCGAGTCATCATCAACAGCAGCAGCCGCATCAGCACCTCCTCCCTCCTCATCATCGTCCAGCAGCAAACGCTCGCGATCATCGACACCAACACAAAAGCATTCTAGCAAGCATAGCAACAGTAGTAATGGCCATCATAGTAGCAACAGCAACAATGCCTATAATCATCCTGTGGCGGCGTCCGCAACGGTGCCACCACCATCGTCATATAATGACAATGCCCGCACCCCGCCCCAGACTGCATCACAACAACAGCAGCAGCAGCAACATCCTTCGCCAACCCAACAAATAGCGGCGGCCGCCTCATCCTTTTCCCTGGCCGGCAATTCCCACTCTTCCTCAGATGCACCTCGCTTCGATTTTAGCAAATATACGCCCATAACCAGCATCGAGCAGAGGCGTCGTTACAAGACTGAATTCGAAAAGAATTACGATGAATACCGCAAACTGTTGGCCCAGATCGAGAGTGTGGGCCTAAGGTTTCGTGAATTGGCTGATCGCTTGAATGGTGTGCCCGAAGGTTGTCCCGATTACAATAATATTAAGAATCAAATCGTTTCCGAGTACGAGAAAATACGCCACGAGGAGACAATTAATCGTGACAAGAAGCGATTCGATTATCTGCACGAAAAGTTGGCGCACATCAAGCAATTGGTCACGGATTATGATAAGAAATTGAGAAGTGGTATGGTCAGCGTGCAGCCGAAGACACAGCCACAACAGGGGCAAGTGTCGCAGCAATATTCACAGCAACTGCAGCAGCAACAGCAGGGCTTGCAACCCCATCAACAGCCTTATCATAATGGGAATGGTTCTACAGCTCATCTATCGCCAATGTTGCAGAGTAGTGGGGAAAGTAATCATTCCCCGCCCTTAATGGCGATGAATGGTGGGGCTGGTGGTGAAGGAGGTGGTGGTGATATACACCACATGAATGGTGGCATATCATCGTTGTCTTCATCTCCGCAGACAAAAAAGAGTTCGAAACATCATAGGAAACAGAAACACCATCAACATCAGCAACAACAGCAACAAACACATCCTGAGCACCAGCAGCAACAACAACACTATCATCAAAAACAGCAAGAACAGCACTATGAGCATCATCATCAGCCAGAGACGATACCAATGTCTGATGATGATGACGATGATGATGATGTGGTGGCTGTTTCTGGTCCCAATCCTTCTTGGCAGCAGCATCAGCAACACCAGCAGCAACAATCGATGCACTCGAACTCCTCACCACCCGCACATAAGTCCACAATAGCGAAACAGCAAGAATTGCAACAGTTTTCTATTACAGCCTCACCACCCTTACCAAATGAGGATCACCATCATAATAACAACAATAACAACAATGATTCAGATTCTGATAGCGATTCTTCATCATCATCGTCATCGAATGATGACAATTCGGATGATGATAATTCGGATGGCTCAGACGATGATGATGATAACTCCGATGATGATTCCAATGATGATGATGATGATGACGACGATGATGATGACCAATGATCCAGACCATAGCTATGACCCTTTGCTAAATGGAAATGTAAACTAATGATTCTGATCATGATGATGACCAATCGACCGAGGACCGACCGACCGACCGACCGACCGACCGACCCGCATACGCAAAACAAACAAACAAGCAAGCAACCAACAACAACAACACTTTCTTATTATTGTTCTTCAAATACACTATATTATTACAACTATTACTACTACTACTACATCTTTGGTTTATATGTGTAAAATATTACCTATATATTTTTTAATTATTAAATAATAATTATAATTATAACTACATAAAAATAAACAAGGCATAATTTAAAAAATCAAATATATAAACTATTTCTTGAAAGGATGATGATACATTTCATATATGTTTTTACTCTTGGGTTATTGAAGAAGACGAAGAAGAAAAGGCAATAAAAGAATTGGAAGAAGAAAAAACCATATGTTCGTTTAGCATTTGTTGTCAGAATCATATCGCCATTTTGCAATCACATCGAAAAGAGTAACTCTTCTTAATATGGCAACACTTTTTAACACTCACCTTCCCCAACGTCATCGACCGTTACAGGCATTTGTAGATATAAGACGCCATATTTGCATAAAACATACTCTCCTCTCACATACACTTTCTTATAGTGGCCTGGCCACATATCCAATTTGGTTTTTTTTTTAACAGGGTAAATACTACTCTCTCTCTTATAAGTATACAACAGGCGCATGGAAAGCGAGTTAACCGCTAATCAAATCAAATTTGTTATTGTAACCTGGCCACATATAGAATTGTTCTATTATTGTGTCTTTCCAATGGGGACAGTAAATGGTAAAACTCCCATAGTTGTTTCTTATTGTAAAAAGACAAGGTTTTTTCTATTCAGTTTTAATTGAAATTTCTTACTAGACACATCATTAGAAAAATTTAAATAAATTAAAATGGCCTTATAAATATAGAGTTGTGAAAAACGAGATTAATCTACAATCTGGTATTACATAGAGCAACTCTGCCAAAATCTTAAGTGGTATGGCCACACATCCAACCTCCTCATTATTAGCCTAGAACATTAAATCGCTCGATATTGTTTTTAGGATTTAAAGGATAAAAAATAACCCCAAACAGTTCAAGAGTATTAGAAATAGAGTATTTTCGAATTTGTTAATTTTGCTTTTGATGAATATATTAACACAATTATAATCAAGCAATATCTTGTTTTGGATGAATTTGATAGGTCTTTCTAGGTGGGAGTATAGTTTAAAGGTGATAAATTCATTTCGTTCCATATTGCTATTTTTTATATAGTTTTCCTATTTCTGTATATGTTTGACATATTTTCAAGAGTTCTCTGGGATTGTTGCAATTTGATTGATAGAGAGCAAATGTCTATTTAGGGTTATATGTTCCATATTGAAATCTCAGTTATCCAAATTATAAAACCTAGTAGTGTGGTAGAAGAGGAAAAATAAAACAATTCATTTATGGAATAGTTTATATATTTACAAAAAAATGCAAAAAATCAATGAGCAAGCAAATGAAAAAAGAAAAAACAATTTAATACATTAAAATAATAAAAAATTCAATCAAAATGTGTTGAAATTATTTTTAAGTATAAAAAAAGAGGAGAAAAATGCATAGAGAAAAAGGAAGAATTTCTGAAAAAGAAATCTAAAAACACACACACCTAACACATACACACATTATTTGCAAGCAAACAAAAATCCTCAAAAAAATTTATAAAATAAAGAATTTTTATATACATACTATATATAAAACACTATATAATTAGCATATTATATTATTATAAATAAAAAAAAGAATCCAAGAATTAAAAGAAAGAAACCAGGAAGCACTCCTCTTTCATCAAACAAAAAGTGACATCGTGTAAAAATTTTGTAAAAGCAAACAAAAACATTTTTTTTTTACAATTTGTGTAATATTTTTTTAGACTATTAACACTACACAACACAAAAGCCAATAAAACCCCCTTTTATTTTTATTTCATTTTATTTGAAACAAGGAGAAATAAACGGAGACAGTTTAGACAGACAGTTTTAAATTAATGTCTTAATTTGTTCGTTCTACTCCTGACACCACACCACACTGCAGAATGTTATATGTAATGTGGTGCTGATGTTGTCTAAAGAACAAGTTTTGTAAAATTTAGCATATTTTACTCAAAAACAATATTAGTCGAAATTAAAACACAGCAAGAAGAAATGGTATAAACAAATGTGTTTAGAACGAAAATTTTGTATTCAAATGTGTTTGTTATAGTTTCTCTGTCTATATGGTCATTTTAAGCCTCTCTCAAATACTTTATATGAGTATTATTGGATAAAATTTGTTAAAAGCCTTGTTAATTTGATGTGTGGCTAGGCCACATTCATGTTTTCTTTTTTTACTTGCCATATAAATATCATTTATAGTTTATGTGGAACTGCCAGGAGGTCACATTTTGTCTCTTTTGTGTTATTCAATTCATCCATCAACACCACACTAAACCCATTCATTTTAAATTTAACAAATTTCAAACGATTCATTCCAATCAAAAAAAAAAATAATTTTAAAGGGCCCCCCCTCATAAGTGTTTCAGAGAATAGCAAAATAATGACTGTCAATTTTAGCGCTCTCACTGCATCTCACTTAAGTGGTCTGGCCACATGTTGAATGTAAGGCATTTGTTTTATACTACTACATGGCCACACAACATTGAGTTGAGTTACATGGCCACACATTCAACTCGCATGTCAAATTTTGAAAATGTCGATAAAATTGCAAAATCACAAGATTTTGGATGTAATATTAAATTTTAAATTCATAAAAATAAACATTGGCAATATATAGACCATTTAGGTTAGGTTTTGTTGTGGACTTGTACACTATTTTTGTCGCAAAGGCAAGTAGTAAATGTATATAAGGCTACGTTTGTATCGCAGCACTTTATGATGACAATTGCCATATGATGGCCATTTTAAGGTACAGTTTCTTACATTTAAAGAGATGTTTATCATATTTAGGCCTCAAATGCAAACCTAGCCTTATAATCCACAACTGTCTTTTTTGTTTGTTGTATATTTCATATCTGCAAAAAACCAACACATTTGTTTAGAATATTTTTCGTTTTACGCTCGCTCGTTAACTTATTTCATTTTGTTTGAAGGGGTTTATTTTTCTAATTTATTTTCTTAATTTTTTTTCATTTCGTTTTGTATGATGATAAAACATGTTATATTAAAATTTTATTATTTTTTTTTTTTTCATTTGAATTTTTAAGCATTTGTTGCATAGTGTTTTAATTGCTTATTATTACATTTATACATATATAAAATATATATTATTTTTAATTTTATTGCTTTCAAATATATAATTTTTTTGCTCTTTATATTATTATAAAATATAATGATTATATAATTATAAATAAAAAACCATATTAAATTTATAAAAGTTGTTAAAACAAACAGAAAACCCATAATAAAAAAAAATCAACACTTGTGCAATTCTTAAGAAATTGAGAAGAAAAAATTACAAAAAAAAAACACACATTGCGTTTTATTTTCAAATGTTTTGGTTATTTGGTTTTATCTAATTTTGTTGTTATACCACTGAAAGTATTCTTGCAGGACCCTAAACATAGAGAAGGCAAAATCTAGAACATATCCTAATGTCCTTCGGGATCATCTTTAAATAGCATGTCGTAGAGTCTCCTTTATTTCCAGTCCGAAATAAATTATTAATAGTACCAGCTTTTTTTTTTAAAAAAAAAAAGCGAAGATATACATCTCTGAAATCACAACTTGTCAAATAATTCAGTGATTTTTTTATAAAGAGGTAAATTTCCTCAATGTAAAGGGTATTCCATGGTAGAATAATACAGGTAGATGTATCAACGCTTGGGAACATTGATATGTCAAAAACTTTAGATGTTTTTTTTTTTTTTCTCAAAAATTAGTAGATTTTTATAAGTTTTCTTATACGACACCAATCGGAGGTTATTATGGTATGCATTTTCCACAATTTTTATAAATTTGAATAACTTTTCATTCAAAATTGTCAATTTCAAATTTGGTTTGACAGTTCATTGTTCCAGCAGCTGTGTCGATGCGACTACCTTTATTCTTCTACCATGGGGTATTTATTACACATTTTTGTTGATATAACACATTTAGGTGGATGACATATTTAACTGGATGGGTATATATTACTTCTCTCTGGTAATGGCAGATTTTTATTATTTGAATAAATTCAATTCAGCAATAAAATAAATAATATATCTGATCTGTCTCCTAATTTAAAATTCTTATTCTTATTTGTTCTATTTTTTTTATCGGAGAACCTGTTTGAAATTGCAATATTAGATTTCAAATGAAACAAATAAAAGCAATTTTTTGTTTTTCTTTTTCGCTTTTCGTAAAAGTTTGCCAAACCTCAATGGAAACACGGTTTTAGACAGAGAGTAGTTTAAGTGTCCCTTGTAAAACATCATATGTAAATGTCAATTTATAATATGGGGTATAATGACGTACGTTTTTTTTTTGTTATTGTATTTTTTTTTAATTTATCTTTTGTTTCGCTTTTTCTCAAAGTTTTTGGAATACCACAAAAAAAAAATGAATAGAAACAAAATTACAATTGTACATATATTTTGCAAATGGAATATTTATTTTTTATACACATTAAATATATATATAGTATTAAGCTTGATATAAAACAAAACAATTACACACAATCATGTGAAATAATATTTTTTACAAAAAGAAACAAAACAAACAAATATAAAAACCCATTTTTGATATAAAAACCAGAATTATATGGTATAGTACACTAAATATGCAAAAAAAAAAAAAAAAATAAAATTCATTGCTTGTCGAAACAAAAAAATGTACATTTTCGTAAATCCCAAGTACAAAACCCAAATAATTTTATTTTTTATTACCAAGGACCAATAATGTTTGTTTTTCGTGTTCGTCCGTTACAGTTTACTATACCAATATCAAGTTAATAATGGTTTGATGGTGTGGCCAGATAGCTTTAGATTTGTTTTTACAGCTATGTTATCAAAAGAGCTAGATAGTTTGATATGTGGCTGGACAACTTGAGAAATTACAGCAAAGTGAAGTTAGCCGTATATTGTGATGGGAAAGGCGGCTTGGCCACCCATCAAGTTTTTCGAAAAAAAGAAATTGCTTAAATATTTTATTTTCAAAAATTGATATCGGCGGTACAATTAACTCATTTTACTATCCAAATACAGAACATGAACGGACAGACTGCTATAAGTTAACTAATAAGTGCCCTGAAATTAATTCGAATGTGTGGACTGAGTGACCGTATAAACTCTGTATTGTTGGCTGCCGCCAGTAAATATTAGATTCTCTTTCAATAAACAAAAGTTTGTGTGTGGGTGTCTGAGCAGTCGTGAAATTTTGAAAACTAGAAATATATAGCTTAGAAATTTAGATTTCAATGGGCATTATTTGGTTTCCATTTGATTGGCTTTCGGATGCGTGTTTTATTAATAAATATACCACAACAAAAATTCGTTTTTTGTTTTTTTTTTGTTAACTAATCGTAGATAAGCATTTGTATTTTAATTAAATAACATGGCCAATTTATTCATTACTCCGTCGAAGAATTAATTTAGTGAAATAATGATGTATATAGAACACAGAAAAAAAAACGTCAACAAAAAACCAAGCCTGAGGTATTTAAATGATATCTAAAAAAAAGAAGAAAATAATGTTGAAAACACACAAACATATTTAGTATAAATATTAGTAATCATAATTTGAAATATTATTATTACTATTTTTAGTTTCAAACCACAAAATCGAACCACAACAAACTCTAGTTCTTAAGTTGCAATTTTGCTAACAAACAAAACAAAAAAAAATTAAAGAAAAAAAAACAAACAAGTCAACTAAAACCACTATATATATACACGAGACATACATACAAACAAATATATATATATACACAAATATATATCATTAAAAAAAAAACAAAGGAAAAATAATTGATATTGTTACAAAACAAAGTAGTTTATATTATAATATTGAACAAAATATATAATTAAAACAAAAAGATATTTAAAACAAAGACAAATTCCCCCGAAATACTATGACGACGAACTAACATGATGAAACTATAAGGTAAAAAGTAACAAAAAAAAACATATATATAAATAAATAAAACTTTAAACAAAATATTGATAAAAAAATTCCATGCAAATATAGTTTTATTTCCAGTAAGAAATTTTAAAAAACTTGAAAAAGTATTCTTTGCTCGCGTTTTGAAGCTTGGGATTGCCACTGAAATATCATTTGTGTGATATATATATATGAAATTGAGCATAATTTGATGTGTGACCAGTTAGCATTAACCATTTTATCAAGCGGAAGATGAAAGTGACTTGGTCATTTGTCAAACTTACTAGTGACCATTTAATTTTTTTTGTTTTAATAGAGAATTGTATTGAATATTCAACAATATGTTGTATAAAATGCCGTTTTTTGCTTTTGAACATGAAATTACCATCATTAAAACAGTTCCGGTTATAAATATTGCCATTAAATCCCAAAATTACAAGAAAGTTTGACATGTGGCCAAAATGATGAAGAAGTAGTAAATGATACAAGGGAATATGATTCTCATTTACTGGAGAATATTTGACACTTTAAACTGCTTGTTTTCACCAAAATCGTTCAATCAAAAAGCTAAAAAAGCCAAGTGATTATTTTCTTCGCCGGGATGAATTCATGATATTGGTAGCGATCAGCAAATATTGCGAAGCTGTCAGTTTCTTTTTGAAAAACACTACTCTCTGTAATAAATAAATAAATAATATAATAATTTTGCATTTTTAATAATTGTATTTTTATTATAAATTATTATATTATTATTTGTTTTTGGGCTTTTATTAAAAAATGTTGATAAATGTGCATTTTTTCCAAAAATGCGTAATATTGTCATCCTTCGAGTGTAATATGCAGCTCCTTTGGTGGCAACACTGGTTTGATGTGTGGCCAAGTATTTTGATGTCTGATGTACATTATTGTGATTTGGTCACATGTCAAATTAACTCACGAAACTTAAGCTGTTTGGGTTAATTGAGCCGCTTCAAATTAAGGAAAATATAAATATCACATTGTACTACAAGTAAAATCAATCAATCCCCTTATATAAAAAGCTTTAATTTCTGTATAAATTCAATTCCATCACTATGTCTACGATCGAATTGATCTTTGCCCATGAAAACAAATATTACAAATATATTTATTTCTCTATTGACAATTCCTTTGATATCATCGTATGTAATAATGTATCTATAATGTATGCGCATAATAATATGATGGTGGTTCATCCATTTATTCTAGACAACAAAAAGGAGCAATAGCCCCAAAATCACATTGACATCCAGACCAGATGTCAGCTCTCATTGAGATTTCAACTCACACCTGTTGGGTTAGTGGTGGCTGTTGCTGCTGCGGCTGCTGCTGCTATTTTATTCCATTCTTAAGATTTTTGTTTCTTTTGGGGAGAGAGCACGCTTGTTGTTTGACTTCTGCGACGTGCTCACACATACACATATACCCACGAACACACATTGTAACATGAATGCATTGAACGAACGAAGAATGACAGATGTCGTTTTTTTTACTTGTAGGATAATTTTTTCATTTTTCTTAAGAAGTTCAATAACCTTTGCGAAAGATTGATCGTTAGTTGGGGTGTTGTATATCTGTATGATTACTGTATAAGGGATGAGATAATTAAAATTTCCTATGCAATGCCAAGTTAGGCCAATAAATTGTATTAAGAATGTATATAATATTTCCAAGTAGGATATACAATATAATGCAAAACTAAAGGTGTAAGTACATAAGAAGCTTGAAGTCATGGCATATCTTGTAAATTTTCAAAAGTTTTCAGGTGTAAAATTGTAAATCTAGTGCAATATAGTAGAATATTGCAGGTTTGCGAACACAACGTAATTCCAAAGGTTTACACATGGTAGAAGAATACAATGTTCCCATCAACTCTTGGGAACATTGATATTTCAAAAAGAAAATTTAAATATAAGTAGATTTTTTATATGTTTTCTTATACGACATCATTCAGAGTTTATTATAAAACGCATTTTTTAAAAATTTTTACAAATTTAAATAATTTTTCATTCAACATTTTCAATTCCAAAATTGGTTTGACAGTTCATTGTCCCAGCAGCTGTGTCGATGCGTCTACCTATATTCTACCATGGGTTTACACAATGCTTGGGTGGGTTAATGTTGCGCTTATTAGCTCTGTTCCTTTCAATGCAAAACTTTTTGCTCATTTTTTTTCTCACAAATTATTTATTTGTTATTGAGCCTCCGAAGTTCTTTTTTTGGAGCCAAGCAATATGTAAAATTTTTTCATTGCAGAGGTAAATTATTAAAATCTTCACCAGCCCATTTTTTCGGGTAAGTCATGCCAAGTTTTTTTTCACGTGTTCAAAAATGCCACACTGAGTTCCGTTTTTCTATTACAAATTGTTTTAAAAAGAACCTAAAATACCAAATAAATTACTAAAACAAATATTTCCTTTTTGTATATATGTAGAAGAGGAGGAGGCAGCAGATGAGACCGCTCAACAAGCTGAACTATCTAATGACTCGGATGCACCTTTGAAGCCAAATGTAAGTAGTTTGTTATTTCATCTTTAAAAAAACGTTCCTTTAACTTACTTCTACACATGGTAGAATCAAGAAGTTAAAGTCAGGTTATCATATGTTTACAAAATATTTTCAAAATTATTCATTTGACAATATCTCATTGTCAAAATGTATATTTTTATTTATATTTATGTATATACAAATCAGAGATGTATATCTCCAATCAGTGAAATTTGCCAAGGTAAATTACAGAAAATGCAGAGATCGGTATTATTATCTGGAATGACTTCCTTCTTAATTTTACCATGTTGATAATATTTGATAAATAATAAAATGTTTATCTAAATAACGCAATGTAAACACTGACTTAGTTTTTGTGTTCATAGCATGTTTACCTTTGAGTATTTTTTCAAGAAAATTGTTGAAGCAATCTTAATGTAAACCATGGTAAAATTAAAAAGGTAAAGTCATTTCAAATATGCATTCCCAACTCTGCATTTTCTGTAATTTATCTTCTCAAATTTCACTGCATAAAAACAGGTTCCCATCTCTGATGAATATGTACAATAGATTTATAATTATACATTTTGACAATAAGATGTTGTCAAATGAATAATTTGAAAAAAAAAATCAAATCTTTGTCAAAATGTTTATTCATAAATCCATGCATACAAATCAGAGATGGGAAACAGTTCTCAATGAATTTGAATTCGATAGAATAAAATACAAAAATATTCAGAGCTGGATATTAATATTTTAAATGAGGTTACCTTGATGTATTTGTACCATGTTTTTATGCTGTTTACCTCATGTTTACATTTGAGTTTTTTTTAACACACTTTTAAAATTACATTTAATTTTTTTTACAGAATGACGAAGATGACGATTACGATCCCGAGGATACGCGAAAAAAGAAAAAGGGTAAAAAGCGCAAAACCAGAAAAGGCGAAGAAAAGGGTCGTAAGAAAAAGAAACGCAAGAAGAATGAAAGTGAGGATGACAGTGATTTTATGCAGCATGACGATGATGCAGACTACGCCAATACTTCGTCGTCGAAGCGAGGGCGTAAACGCAAGGAAGTTGATAAATCAAGCAAAGAAAAGGAAACATCATCATCGGGTATGTTAAAGTGAAACGTTTACATTATAGCTCTTTGCCCTGGTGATCAACTTGACATTAGAATTCATACAAAAATGTGTCAAATGATAGAATACTGTAATTTTAAATAAAATACGCCAGTTTTCATATTTGAATTAAACAGGTGAAATACACTGGATTTTTTAATGTGTAAACAGGCTTTAAGGCTGATATGATCATAGTGGTAGAAGAATACAGGTAGTCTCATCAACTCTTGGGAACATTGATATGTCAAAAATGTTAAATGTACTTTTCAAAAATAAGTAGATTTGTGTATGTTTTCTTATATATTTATGATATGCATTTTTAACAATTTTTACAAATTTAAATAGCTTTTCATTCAAAAATTTCAATTTTAAAATTGATTTGACAGTTCATTGTCCCAGCAGCTGTATCGATGCGACTACCTGTATTCTTCTACCATGTATCATTGTAATTTATTATCTAATGTTTACACATTATAGTTAGTCAGCTGATTATCACATAAAGAGGGCTTAATTTAAATAAACCTAGAATTAAACTTGATCTATGTGATGTTTACATTTAAAGGAATTTATCAGCATTATACCCCTAATAGTACATTTACAGTCGTAGTGTCAATTTCTTTCTTTATATGTGATAAAATCCTAAAAAAGGATGTTATGCCATGTTTACGTTAGAACATTTTGCAAGGTTAACCTACTTTAAGCGGCTTTAATTGAAGTATAAGTAATGGATATGACAATTTTAATCCAAATCCAGTGGTTTAACCCATTTAAATGTAAACGTACTGTTAACCAGGCAAAATGCTCTAATGTAAACATACTATAAGAAGTCTAGTAGGCTTTGGTAAACGTTAATTTATGTCATTTTTTCATAATTTTCAAATTCAAGGCATGCCATCTGTCGAAGATGTCTGTTTGGCATTTGATGTGACCGATGTTGATATTCAATATACCGAAGAGGAGCTACAACAATTGACAACCTATAAGGCTTTTACACAGCACGTCCGGCCAATATTGCAAAAAGAGAATACCAAAGTACCGGCACCCAAGCTGATGATGTTGGTAACGGCTAAATGGCGTGAGTTTTGTGATGCTCATCCGAATCTTGTGCAAAATGAACAAAATGAAACAGCCAATGAACCTAGATCATCGCGCTCATCGAGGAATGAAAAGGTAGGATAAAAATAATTTAAACGACACGAAAAGAAGAAAAATAATATTTTTTTCTTCCCCCTCCTTGCATTTATAGCCCGATGATTTGTACGAGGAGGAAGAAGACGAAGAAGAGGAGGAAGAAAAAGAATCCTCGTCTAGTGCCCGTCGTAAACGTGGTGGACGTGGTCGTGGCAAAAAAGGTCGTCGTTCCGGTAAAGTTCCTACGCTCAAGATCAAATTTGGCAAACGCAAACGTGGCAGTTCCGACGAAGATCAAGATGCCTCGGGGGCTTCGGAAAGAGATTCCGATATAGAATTTGAGAAAATGTTACAAAAATCCGATGACAGTGCTGATGATATACCCAATACATCTTCAGCAGCCGCAACAGCCTCTACATCGGCGGCAGCAGCAGCCAGTGGTGAGGCTGGGGCCACAAATGATGATGGCACACCGGTGGTTAAGAAGAAGGCCAAAGTTAAAATTGGCAATAAATTCAAGAAAAAGAAGAAGCTCAAGACCACTTCTCGTTTTCCCGACGGCGAGGATGGGGAACATGAACACCAGGACTATTGTGAGGTGTGTCAACAGGGTGGTGAAATTATTCTGTGCGATACTTGTCCCAGGGCTTATCATTTGGTTTGTTTAGAACCCGAATTGGAAGAGCCACCAGAAGGCAAATGGTCTTGCCCCCATTGTGAGGCTGATGGCGGAGCTGCCGAGGAAGACGACGATGATGAACATCAGGAATTCTGTCGCATCTGTAAGGATGGTGGTGAATTGTTGTGTTGCGATTCTTGCCCTTCGGCCTATCACACGTTCTGTCTCAATCCCCCGTTGGATACAATACCGGATGGCGATTGGAGATGTCCACGCTGTAGCTGTCCGGCGCTAACGGGCAAACCTGAGAAAATAATCACATGGCGTTGGGCAGAGACCAAAGACGCGAAAGGCAAAGGCAAGAATGGATCCCGTACCCGGGAATATTTCGTCAAGTGGCACAATATGTCCTATTGGCACTGTGAGTGGGTACCAGAGATTCAAATGGAGGTACATCATCCACTGATGATCCGTTCATTTTCACGTAAATACGATATGGAAGAGCCACCTAAGTTCGAAGAAACTCTGGACGAAGCCGATTCTCGTTATGTACGCATACAGCGGCACAAGGCCAAGGGCGGTATCCAGGCCGATGAGGAAGACGAACAATATAAAAAAGACTTGGAAGATCGTTTCTATAAGAATGGTGTCAAACCGGAATGGTTGATTGTCCAGCGTGTCATTAATCATCGCACAGCTCGGGATGGCACCACCATGTATTTGGTAAAATGGCGGGATTTGCCCTATGACAAGTCCACATGGGAGGATGAAAGTGATGATATTCCCGGTCTGAAGCAGGCCATTGACTATTATTTGGATTTAAGGGCCATGTGTACGTCCGAGCAACGTTTGAATAAAAAGAAGAAGGGACGCAAGAGCAAAAACAAGGATCTGGAAGAGGAGGAACGCCCGCAGCGACGTTTCACACCACCGCCAGAGAAGCCCACAACGGATTTGAAAAAGAAATACGAAGGCCAGCCACCCTTTTTGGAAGCCACCGGCATGCAGTTGCATCCTTATCAAATTGAGGGTATCAATTGGTTACGCTACTCCTGGAGCAATGGCGTGGACACCATTTTGGCCGATGAAATGGGTTTGGGTAAAACCATCCAGACTGTCACCTTTTTGTATTCCCTCTACAAGGAGGGGCATTGTAAGGGCCCATTCTTGGTTGCGGTGCCTCTGTCGACCATCATCAATTGGGAAAGAGAATTTGAGCTGTGGGCTCCAGATTTCTATTGCATTACCTATGTGGGAGACAAGGATTCCAGGGCGGTCATTCGTGAAAATGAACTGTCCTTTGAGGAGGGAGCCATCCGCGGCGGCAAGGCCTCACGCCTGCGTACTAATCAATACAAATTCAATGTTCTGCTGACAAGTTATGAATTGATTACCATGGATGCTGCCTGTCTGGGTTCCATTGACTGGGCGGTGTTGGTTGTAGATGAGGCCCATCGCCTGAAATCGAATCAAAGTAAATTCTTCCGAATTCTCAATTCGTATACCATCACCTATAAACTGCTGTTGACTGGTACCCCTTTGCAAAATAATCTCGAAGAGTTGTTCCATCTGCTGAACTTTTTGTCCGGAGACAAATTCAATGATTTGAATGCTTTCCAAAATGAATTTGCCGATGTATCGAAGGAGGAACAGGTGAAACGTCTACATGAAATGTTGGGACCCCACATGTTGCGTCGCCTCAAGGCTGATGTCCTCAAGAATATGCCCTCAAAGTCGGAGTTTATTGTACGCGTTGAATTGTCGGCTCTGCAAAAGAAATTCTACAAATTTATCCTGACCAAAAACTATGAGGCCCTTAACTCCAAGAGTGGTGGCAATTCATGTTCCCTGGTCAATGTTATGATGGATTTGAAGAAATGTTGCAACCATCCCTACTTGTTCCCCTCTGCGGCTGAAGAGGCAGCCACCACAGCTGGTGGCCTCTATGAAATCACATCGCTGACGAAAGCGGCTGGAAAACTGGTGTTGCTATCGAAAATGTTGAAGCAGCTGAAGGAACAAGGTCACCGTGTTTTGATTTTCTCGCAGATGACTAAAATGTTGGATATTCTGGAAGATTTCCTGGAAGGTGAAGGCTATAAATATGAACGTATTGATGGTGGCATCACTGGAAACTTACGTCAAGAGGCTATCGATCGGTTCAATGCTCCGGGTGCCCAGCAATTTGTGTTTTTGTTAAGTACCAGAGCCGGTGGTTTGGGTATCAATTTGGCCACAGCCGATACGGTCATCATTTACGATTCCGATTGGAATCCTCACAATGATATTCAGGCCTTCTCGCGAGCCCATCGTATTGGCCAGGCCAATAAGGTGATGATCTATCGTTTTGTAACCCGTAATTCGGTCGAGGAACGTGTCACCCAGGTGGCTAAGCGTAAAATGATGTTGACCCATTTGGTGGTACGACCCGGCATGGGTGGCAAAGGTGCAAATTTCACCAAACAAGAATTGGATGATATTTTGCGATTTGGTACCGAGGAGCTGTTCAAGGAAGATGACAAAGAGGAGGCCATTCACTACGATGACAAGGCAGTGGCTGAGCTGTTGGATCGCTCCAACAAGGGTATCGAGGAGAAGGAATCCTGGGCAAATGAATATCTCTCGTCGTTCAAAGTGGCTTCGTATGCCACCAAAGAAGAGGAGGAAGAAGAGGAAACGGAGATCATCAAACAGGAAGCGGAGAATTCCGATCCCGCCTATTGGGTTAAACTTTTGCGTCATCACTATGAGCAGCACCAGGAGGATGTGTCGCGTACCCTGGGCAAAGGTAAACGTGTACGTAAACAGGTGAATTACACCGATGGTGGTGTGGTGGCGGCAGAATCCACACGTGACGATAGCAATTGGCAGGACAACAACTCGGAATATAATTCCGATTATTCAGCTGGCTCCGAGGAGGATGGCGGAGATGATGACTTTGATGAGCAGAACGGTGCTGAGGGTGGACGCAAAGCACGGCGTCGTGTTGAACGTCGGGATGATCGTCCATTGGCTCCGCTTTTGGCTCGTGTTGGTGGTAACATTGAAGTGTTTGGCTTCAATTCACGTCAACGCAAGAGTTTCCTCAATGCCATTATGCGTTATGGCATGCCACCCCAGGATGCATTCAATTCACAATGGTTGGTGCGCGATTTGCGTGGCAAATCGGAGCGAAACTTCAAGGCCTATGTTTCATTATTTATGCGTCATTTGTGTGAGCCAGGGGCAGATAATGCCGAAACCTTTGCTGATGGTGTGCCACGTGAGGGTCTGTCCAGACAGCATGTTCTGACACGTATTGGTGTTATGTCTTTGATCCGAAAGAAAGTCCAAGAATTTGAGCACATCAATGGCTATTATAGTATGCCGGAATTGATTTTGAAACCCTGTGAGCCGGTAAAGTCACTGCAAAAGGAGGAGGGTTCCATTGTGGAGGGTGGTGGGGTAGGTGTAGCAGCAGCTGTTGGTGGTGGAGCTAAACCCGAAGATAAGAGTGCTACCACAAGTACAAGTGCAACACCAGCCACAAGTGCTGCTCCCAGTCCAGCACCGGTGGACAAAGTGGAGGATAGCAAACCCAGCACTACGGCAGGTAATGATGACGTCAAGAAAGAATCCGGAGAAACTGAAGACAAGAAATCCACAGAGGTTGATTCCGACAAAAAGGAAGAAAAACCAGAGGTCTCTGCAGATGATGTCAAAAAAGAAGCTGGCGAAAAAGATAAGGAGTTGGCGCCTGATAGCAAAGATGGCATTAAAGATGAAAAGCCTGACACCCGCGATCTTAAAAAGGAAAGTTCCGATGGTGGTGGCGGTGAGGTTAAAAGTGAAAAGGATGGTGCCAGCGACGCTGCAAAGGAAGAAAAGGCAAAAGAAGAAGCCAACAAAACTGAAATTATTGATGATGATGACGATGATGTTCTGATCATTAAAGATGACGGCGAAGTTGAGAAACCCTCACAGAGCATCCATAAATCGGTTGCTGCCGCTTCTTCTTCTTCCGCCGACAACAAAGAAGGTTTGACTAAACCCAAAATAGAAGAAAGTCTTGAAGTCTTGAAACGTAAATTTATGTTCAACATTGCCGATGGCGGTTTCACTGAACTCCACACATTGTGGCTGAACGAGGAGAAGGCAGCCGTACCCGGTCGTGAATATGAAATATGGCATCGTCGCCACGACTATTGGTTGTTGGCTGGCATCGTCACCCATGGCTATGGCCGCTGGCAGGATATTCAAAACGACATACGTTTTGCCATTATCAATGAACCATTCAAAATGGACGTTGGTAAGGGCAATTTCTTGGAAATCAAAAACAAGTTCCTCGCCAGGCGTTTCAAACTACTCGAACAATCCTTGGTCATCGAGGAACAATTGCGCAGGGCCGCATTCCTCAACCTTGCCCAAGATCCCACACATCCGGCGATGTCTTTGAATGCCCGTTTTGCTGAAGTCGAATGTTTGGCCGAGTCCCATCAACATTTGAGCAAAGAATCTTTGGCTGGTAATAAGCCGGCCAATGCTGTACTCCATAAGGTACTGAATCAATTGGAGGAGCTGCTTTCGGACATGAAGAGTGATGTGTCACGATTGCCAGCCACATTGGCTAGAATACCACCGGTGGCACAGCGTTTGCAAATGTCCGAACGGTCGATATTGTCACGTTTGGCGGCAACAGCAGGAAATGTTAATAATGCAGGTAAGTTTTTCAATAAAAAAAAAGTCATTGTTTACGTATACATTGGAATATTATTAAAATTATCTCCTAAAGAGAGAGGAAACTAAAAATTGTAGTAACGGCTTCTCGTCATTTGACAATATTTGCGTTACGTCTTTGTTAAAGTTTTACCCAAAAACAAAACGGTAATTTGTGTAATACTTTGATAAAGACGTGTGGCAAAAATTATATTTTTTAACCTAGAGATTTTTTTTTGTAAAAGAATTTAGCATTACCTTTATTAGAAAAAAACTATCTTCATTTTTTTACCAAATATTTAATTTTTCTTCCAGCTCAATTGATGCCCCAATTCCCAGCCGGTTTTCAAGGAACCAATTTGCCCGCTTTTGCCGGTGGACCAGCTGCAAACTTTGGCAATTTCCGACCACAATTCTCTGTACCCGGTCAGTTATCGGCTAACAATACATCTAATGTAGGAGGAAATTAATTTGTAGCTCTAAACTTTTTACATAAAATAAATAATCTATATATACAAATATATAATATATCTCTAATATATGCTTGAAGAATAATAACAATAATAAAAAACCAGACACAGTTTAATAATGAATGTATAATGAGTGTACGCGCGTTGCACAAATTGTGCAAGTAATAATTTTTACAAGTATAAAATAAAGTATCAATAAGAATCATTTCTATTTGTAGTAGTCTTTTTAGTATTGTGTACTTTAAACAAATTTTATTTCGAATAAAATATTTCGCTGCAACAACTACTTTTAGAATAAAGATTTCGAACTCTTATAATATACAAATACAACAATAAATATACCAACATATTTTAAAAAATGAGGTTTTCTTTCTTGGGATTTACAGTGACGTCGGGAAAAAGGTGTCAAGATGCGTTTCGCCAAAAGAACTAAATCAAGTTGAGTGACATATTTGAAATGTTTTCGACTTGGAACGAAATGAAATATGCTCTATTGACAGCAGAGTTAATTGTTTTTTTTTTTTTTTCAAAGAATTATTAGGTGTGTACCATGGTAGAAGAATGCAGGTAGGTGCATCAACGCTTGGGAACACTGATGTGTCAACATTTATAAAATGTTTTGTCAAAAATAAGTAGATTTTTATGTGTTTTCTAACACGACGCATATCGGAGGTTTTTCTTATAAGTATTTTATCAACAATATTTACAAATTTCAATATTTTATTCAAGATTTTTAATTCGAAAATCGGTTTGACAGTTCATTGTTCCAGCAGCTGTGTCGATGCAACTACCTGTATTCTTCTACCATGCAAAAATAGTAGGACTATACCATGGTACAATAAGTAGGTAGAACAGCTTCGTAAAACTACAGAATTTACTACTCATTCAAAATTCTATGAAACAAGTTGTTATTTTATTTATTAATTTATTTTCATAATTTGCCTCATTTTTTAATGAGTCAAATGGCGCGAACAATGAAAGAAATGTTCGTATTTTCTCTCAAAAACATGATCCAAACTGTTGAATCTTTTAATTTCATGGCTAAACTGGTTAATAGCTTTAATGCACGAGCCGCAATGTACATCATTTCCAATCATTGGTCTTGAAAATGTTTTTTTTAATCATTTTCAAAACAATGAATACATACACAAAATTGGTAGAAGTCGGGCACACTTAGAAAAAAACTGTAAACAGCTGATAGTTTTACCTTATCTTTTTATTGTACCATGGACAATACAGTTTTATGCCAATATTGTAAAATGTGTTGCCAATTAAAATCGAAACTATGCATTTTTTTGCAACCGAATTTGAAATAATTATCAAATTATTATAACTGTATGCAAAAACCGATTTTTAAGAACCCAAACTAACATTTGTTGATTATTTTTATGGAAATTATATACCTACTTTAAATAACCGAGATAAATTGTATCACGATAACCGGCATATATAAAGTCATATATCATCCAGCCTTTTGTAAAAGTAGCGTAAGCTTTTGCTCCTTCAACAATTTAAATTGTCAGCTGTCTTATTTTTAAATCCCTACTTGAGGTCCGTTATCGATCTTCAGAGCCCTATTGCCAGTGGGTGTTTTTGTTATTAGACTAGAGCAATTCGCAATAAAAAAGCAAAGAAATCGTTGTATTGGAATCATTTAGTGAGAAAACAAAATAATTTGTAAACATTATTGTATTTATACAAACTACAATTGCGTGTTGTTGCCTCTGGTTTATTAATAAGTATTATATGCAACGTTTATACTAGTTAAAAACTGTGCAAAACAAGCAGGAACATGATCCATTTAACTGGACAGAATTACAATTCCCGTGATATTGTGCAAAATATATTCTCACCATTGATTGGTGTCCTGTGCAGTCCTCATGCAGACGAGGTGTGTCATCGAAACAACCTGTCGTTTGCGGAATTGTTACAGCCTTTTGCAAAGCTGCAAAATGATGGTATGATAGATGGGAGACAATTCGAAATTTATTATTGTATTTTAAAAATTGTTTACATTTCAGCCCACTTTCGCGATGTGACGGGTACCAGTGTTTCCATACGTGGCTTACGTTTGAATTTTTGCGATGTCGACTGGCGACCACCACAAACTGTGTTGGCCAGAAAAATGCTCAACGAATCGGTGACAAACGCCCACAATGATAAAACAAAAATGGTCCACCTGTCCGACATCTCCTTGGAAGTACCCACATACGAGCCATGGTTTGAAAATTGGCGTGAAACCTTTTTAACCGTACAGTTTCCAGCAGACCACGAGTTCACCAGACATCTGCTTAGCTGCCTAATAGTCTTGTCCAGCAGCGAGCCGAATATTGTGGAAACGGCCCATAAGCTGTCCCAGCGCGTACATCAAATGCAAAGCGTTACACCGGCCCAGAAATTACCCAAATGGTTTCAATCGGCCGATGTCCTCAACAGTTATGTGGTTTTGCACGAAGGCACCCAGGGTGATTTGTCCAAGGCCCAACAGGGCTATGAAATGCTCAAGTCAACCTTTGGTGATGCAAAATGCTTTCTCATACAGTTAAATTCACTCGACGTCCATGTCGGTGGCAGTGAAGTGCCCGACTATTGGACGGCGTTTTTAAAACGTCAACCCAAGACGGGTGAAACTGGTCAAAGTGGTGGTGGCAGTCTTGGAGATCCATTGAGTGGCCATAAAACGCCACAAGATGGTGTGTCAAGTATTGCCATGCCAGCCATGCAAATGTCTTTGCTAAGTGAGGCTGTAAACAGCACCGAGGCCAGTGATATGGGAAGCATATTACATCCCCTAAGTCCGGTACAGGAAAATGCCACAGAGGCAATAGTAAGTTGATGAAATCCGTTGGCAATTGGCATTGGTTTTTAAGCATTATTGTTACCTTAGAATTCGAAGTTTTCGGTAAGCAGTGAAAGCATTGCCTCGCAGACCATAAATCCCAATGTGTGGACTGGTGATTTTGATGCTCCCCATGGTCAGTGCTTGAATGCCATGGATGTGGAGAATATTAAACATTTTGTGCAGGATTATGCGGTGAGGGCATTGATACCCTATGTGGAACATTTAGTGGGCATATTAACGGAAGCGGTAAGACAGTGTGATAATTTCGTAAATGTAATGTACTATTGGAGTTTTTTTCTTTTTTTAAGGTCACCAACAAAAAGGGCGTGAGCAAATCCTTGCTAAGTGCCACCAAACGCTGGTTTGTAACCAGCAAACCCGGGGCAAGTGCCAGCAATCAAAATGCTGTAATGTAAGTCATCTTTGGGGTATTTCTAGTGAAATGTTTAACCGAAAAAGAGGTGTTTTCTTTTATAGATACACCCACGAATCGGCGGAGTTACAAACCCGCAAATTGGGAGACCTCTACTTCATGTTTGGACACTACAATATGGCATTCCAGGCCTATCATCAGGCCAAACGAGACTTTAATGCCGACTCAGCTTGGCAATATTACGCTGGAGCCCTGGAAATGGCTGCCTTGTCGGCCTTTATGCTGGGCACGGCCAATCGCAAGACCTATGACTATATGGAAGATGCAATTGTTTGTTATTTGAATACCTGCAAGTAGGTGGAATAGCTTTGGTATTTTTATCATAAATAATGGCAAAATATGTTTTCTATTTTTTTTTTTCAGATTACAACAATTTGCCACGCGGGCCACTTTACTGAGCATGGAATGTCTGAAAACGGCACGATTATACGGTGAAGCAGCTAAACAATTGATACGTATGACTAGTGAAGAGTCTGATTTGCGTTCAGCCCTGCTATTGGAACAGGCTGCCTATTGCTTTTTGAACTCTACACCAGCCATGTATCGTACATATGCCTTTCAAATTGTCTTATCTGGCAATCGTTATTCTCGTGCCGGCCAGCGTAAACATGCCTATCGTTGTTATGCTCAGGCCTATCAAGTTTTCCAGCAGAAAAGTTGGAGTTTGGCCGAAGATCATATCCAGTACACTATGGCTAAACAGGCGTATATGTTGAAAAAACTTGAAGAGGCTAGCCGGTCATTTGCACATCTCTTGCGACCGGGTAGTTTGCAAAATGGCAATCAACAATTGAGCTTTTTGAAAGAGTTTATACAGACTCAAAATGTGGGTGTTGCTAAAATGAGATTGTTCTTATTTGTCCTCTATAATGGAAGGTCTTCCAGTAGAGCCATAGCTCTATGGATACCTCCTTATCATTCCATTCCTTATTTATATGCAAACCTAATATTCTTCTTTCACTTTGTTTTAATTATTTTGCCAGGAGTTTGTTAAACGTCATCCCGAAATGGGTCTCATACCTCATGCTCTGCCCCATGTGGTGCAAGATTCCATCAAAGTCTTAACTTTATCGCCACCACCTGTGGTCACACCCCACCACCTACCGGCAACAAATATAGACATAAATGTAAGTCGAAATAAACAAAAATATCCTTGTTCCAAATCCATTTAAATCGTTGATTTCCAGACGGATTTGAGCGATGAATCAGTTTGGCATAAATTAGAGGAAATGATTGTAACCACTGCATCGGCAAATAAGCCATTGGTATTCAAGCCCTCGCGTAGTTTGTTTACCAAAGAAAATCCCACACTTGAATCCCCATTGGCCGTTCAGGGAGGTAATAGTTGCAAGTATTCAATAAGAGAACCTAATTTTTCCAATCAAAATTGTTGCAGAACCCATTGAGTTATCCGTGACCATAACAAATACCATTGGTTGTGGCATAATATTCAGCAATGCTGAGCTATTGTGGCGTTTAAAATTGGACAATGATGAGGAGTTGAATAATATGTGTTTGTTTGAATCCGCCGGCATGGAGAATCCAAGTAAGTTGGGAGTTCGACAATTTTGGAAAGTGTGGAGAAGAATCATTTCTTTTCCTCTTCTTTCATATCACAAAAACTAGGGATATGTTTCTGTAAACATTTTAATTTTAAATGAATTTAAATATACCTTTCCGCTTTATTCCCCCCTCAGATACCACAGCAGTCAGGGCTGCCATTAAATCAGGCCCGCCCCAGTCCGTACAATTGGATGAGAAGGCCAGCCAGACATTGTATTTCAAATTGACGCCAAAACTAACTGGCCGTCTGACAATTGTGGGCATTGTTGGTCAGGTGGCATCTGCTGCCGAGCCCAATGCCTCTCTTTTGGGTTCATTGCAATTTGAAACACAAATTCTCAAGGCACCTGGTAATAAGGCACCCGCATTTGATCAGAAATTAAATATACGCATCATACCCACACTGCCGTCGTTAAGTGTTAGCTTCTCGGCCATACCCAATGACTTATTGGCCGGAGAAATTATTCCCCTCACTATTTCGTTTCGCAATGAAAACATCAAACCCATTGAAGAGATCTATTTGGGTTGTGATAATCCTCGCTGGCTGACACTGCAAGATAAGGATGACAAGATACCGCTGTCGCTAATGAGTTGTGGGTTTCAGTTTCACACCAGTTTGAGACATAATTTAATTTGTTTCCTCTTCATTTTAGCCATTAAAGACCTTTCCAACGAGAAACTGGTAAAAGACAAAGAGATACGCCAACAACATGTTTTTCGTTTATTCCGAAACAAATCCACGTCCGCCCTTAAGGCCCAAGATACCACAACTTTGACGTTGTGGCTTCAGGCCCCCTTTGAAAATGGCGAGTTTACTTTGCGTCTCTTGTTCTATTATGCCTTGCCTTCGGAGACAACGAGTGCCAGTGGTGGCAATTTGAAATATCGTTTAGTTCGACACAAATGGCAATTTAATATCCACGAATGTCTGCATGCTGAGGCTGCGTGCGTTCTAAGCAACTCGTCCAATGGTGAATTGGGTATCAATTTGGAAGTGCGCAATGAAAATAAAATGCACCATCCCCTTATGGCCGAGATATATGTGAATTCGCTGGCCCTGTACTGTGAAAAGTTCCAGCTGAATAAGGATAAGTTATATCGTAAGAAATTTTATGCCCTACAACTTCCTGCCTTTCCTTTTCATATTTTCAATTTTGTTTTGCAGCCATAAACCAAATGGAAATTGCTTCAGGATTACTTGGAGGTAAGGAGTCCTAACACACACATCTTTCAAAATTATTTGATCATTAACTTTGAATTTTCCATTCCTAGAAAATTGTATAAAACCCTCCAAAACAGCCAGTTACCAATGTCGCCTGATGCCAAGTCACGCCAACGGTGCGGCAAACGAAAATAAACCCTTACCCCAAAACTTATTAAAGGCACGCCTCTCCCACCTGGATATGATGCCATCAAAACTACAACAACAACACGAACAGAATTTACCCAAAATGTTTGAATTACATAGTTTTCTGGCCAACCACGAAACCGTCTACTTCAATGCCAGCATTACGACGGAAGAATTCAATAACATTGTTGCCTCCTATGAACCCCATACGACAATAGCCATCTGCTGGACAGCAGCTATTGTACAGAATTCCATACAACGACAGGCTTATGGACAACATTTCATACAATTGAAAACGATATACGAAAAGAGGACATGCCCCCTGCAAACGGATGAAATTAAACAATTCAAAAGTAATTTGGATCGTGATCAGTTGCAGCATTTAAATATCCAACAGTTTTGTGATAAACATCCACTGGAAATCAATGCCATATTGTCACAAATGGAGGCGGCAGACCGGAGCACAGAACGTTATTTGCCATTTGGTGATGCCACTGCCGAGGAGGGGGAAGATGATTTTTGGGAACCCAATGAAATGTATGTGGGACAACGTTGTCTGCTGGAAGATGAAAGTTTTTTGCTAGCCACTAAAGCTTAAAAGGATAATTGTTGCAATAAGTTATAAATATTCCATTGTTTACTTAAGACGACATAATGCAAAATAATAAAGGTTAATGTATTTTTAGAAATCAAGATTGAAACTTAATTTTTTATTTCTTTGGTCATTGATATTTGTTTTTTTTTTTTTTTGGAAATTAGAACAAAATGAACTAGATTTCCTTAATACATTTCAAAATTATTATTCTAATTATTTTTCAAAACAATAAAAAAGGGGGCTATTTTTAGTTTAAAAATGCAAGGCAAGAAAATACACAACAAAAAATCTTTAACAGACATATTTGTGCAAGGATTTGGAAAACAGCCAAACAATTTCTTCATGAAAAAAATTAAGTTTTTTCTTGGGGTCTAGCGGATATAAAAGAGGTCTATTTTTACTCCACAAACTTGGACGATAGCTTTCCGAAAAATGTAGCTGCAGTGTGTGTGTGTCTTTCTCGGTTACTTAAAATAATAACTCATTTATAGGACATTAATTATGACTAGATTTACAACACAAATAAATAAATTTTATGTGGAACATTTCTCCTTCACTGCCTTATGAACGTTTCTTGCTCATGTATACCTTAAAGGTGGCATACAAAACACGGGTGCAAGCAACTGAAACCAAAAAACGAAAGCAATTCATTAAACAAATATTCCTTCATCAGATATCTCCAACATTCCACTCACCAATATTTCCCAAAGCACTGCCCATTAAAGCACCAACTACATTCGGTATGGGATATGTCTGCCAATCACGATCCCAATCCAAGGGTGAAACAATCGAACCTGCCCAAGCGCCCAATATACCTCCCAAGGCATTGTATTTGAACAAGTTCAATGCAGTCTCTTCGGTTTTGGTAAGGAAATCAGGTTTTTCACAAAACCACACTTGAAGGGCACCACCACCGCCCAACAGAAACACAGTTGGCGATACCGACAACAGCGTCAGGAGCAATGACAAAACAAATGTCTGTTCATAGTTCTGCAAAACCGGTGCACCCAATATAATGCAAATAAATCCATACAACACGGTACACAGGAATTGCAACAATAATCCCGAAGCCAAATCTTTGGGCGTAAAATAGGAAGCCTTGCGTTGTTTTTGTTTCTGTGTCAGCGTAGGATCCTCAAGACGACCATAGTAGAAGCACAGGATGACTTTTAACATTTCTCCGGTAAACACAATGGGTATAATCAATGAATCCCAAAAGCTACCCAAGTGTGTCCAATTTCTGCGATATTGCATGTATGTCATGCATATTAGGATGACACCCAAACTTATCGATACATGGAATAGCTGGTGTTTGGTTTTCAAGGCATCGAAACGTACGGCCATTTTTCAAGTGGATAATAGTTCTTTCCCGAGAACTCCCAGCAACAAATTGTGACCCAGTTCTTTTTCGATGCTTTTATTTGATGGTCGGCGTTTCTTCCGGTATCTATGCAACTCCAGTATTATCTAGATTCAGGCGGTGAGTCTATAAATAAATAAATTTGTGATTTTTATTGAATTTCCTTTTATTTTCAGGATGATGAGGACAGTAAGTATTTGAGTCTTCTTCTTCTTTTTTTTCTTTGGTAAATGTACATATAAATTGAATGGTTATCATTATTCACTTGGAACTATTGTCGTCTTGCTCTAACATACAGTGAAGTCGTGAAGCTATATATTTTATCAGTGTTGCCACACGGGAAACTACATATTACACACGGTGAATGAAAATATTACACATCTGGGGGAAAATTACAAATGAAGCAAAACTTTTAAATATTTGTTTAAAGAAAATTTAAATTTTACAAAAAAAAAAATAATATTTTTTTAAGAAAATTACGTTTTTTTTTAATAAAAACTACATTTTTTTTATAAAAACTCCGATTTTTAATAAGAATTACGTTTTTTGTAATAAAAATTAATATATAGTACAAAATCAAACTTTATTTTAATTAATTTATACCAAATTTTGATAATAGATAATAACTAGAATATATTATTTTTAATTTTTACCCTGATTACGGTAAGGTTATGCGACCCGATACAAGATCCGGTCCAATACTAAAACCAATACGGCTAATAAAATCCGGTTCTACGAAACCGATATGTATGGGTATCATTTGAAAGCTCGTTGAAATAACACCAAATGAGCTATTCACTATGACTTAATAACATATTTTGCATGGAATACAACTCTACATTGGAATTTGGCGGGAATGATGGCAACAATCTTCTGGAAATGTCATTTTCGCTAAACAGTTTTCATTTTTTGTTAGCAAGACATCATTTAACAATAACAGAACTCGTAGGATTGTTCCAATTTAATTACAATAATATTCACACAATTAACCAACGATAGGAATTACTTCGAAAAAAAGTAAATAGTACAGCAATATATGTTCTTGTGATTTTTTTGAGACTTTGCAAAATAATTTCGCAAGTAAGTCATTGTCGCATTGTTCTTTGCAGGCGCAATTTCTTAACAAGCTGCAGCAAAAGCACGCCAGAGAAACGATTGCGAGAATTGCCTTACTTGAAATCCGTCGCTGAAGACAAGACCAAACACACACAAATATGGCAAAAGTTCACATCACCAATGTTGTGGTACTGGACAATCCCAGCAGTTTCTTCAATCCATTTCAGTTTGAGTTGACTTTCGAGTGCATTGAAGAATTAAAAGAAGACTTGGAATGGAAAATGATTTATGTTGGTTCGGCTGAGTCAGAGGAATACGATCAAGTGTTAGATACCATCTATGTTGGTCCCGTACCCGAAGGAAGACACATATTTGTATTCCAAGCAGATCCCCCAGATGTAACAAAAATACCCGAACAGGATGCCGTTGGTGTTACAATTGTTTTGCTCACATGTTCATATCGGGGTCAAGAATTTGTTCGTGTCGGTTATTTTGTAAACAATGAATACACTGATCCTGAAATGCGTGAAAATCCTCCACCAAAACCTCTGTATGATCAATTGACCCGCAATATATTGGCCACAAAACCTCGTGTGACGCGTTTCAAAATCAATTGGGACGATACCCCGGCAAATGGTCTTACAAACGGCAATGGTGAACATCACATGGACGATGAGATGCATTGTGGTGGTGCGGAGGCCACAATGAACGGTTGTGAGGCATCAGCGACAGCAGCCGAAACAAATAATGGTCATTCAAATGCTCTGGAAGCCACAATGGATGAGAATAGCTTGGCAATGCCTTTAGAGAATGGAGTCACAGCCTTAAATGAGAATTCAAATTCTTTAGCTATGGAATGTTAGGTTTATGTTACATACTAATATAATTACTGCCGGCCACCGTTTAATGTGGGGTATATATTTATAAAAAGCTATTATTTTTAATTTTAGTTGAAGCGAACAACAATGAAATGAAAAAAAGTAATTGTTTTGTACCTTTCGAACATCAAATGAAATAATGCTATTTTCACAATAACTTTTTTAAACAATGGCAAAGAAAGCGGCATGAACCTTTAAAGTACAGTCGTCTAAATTCCATCCGAATTGTTAGCAACTTATTTGGGACAAAGAAATACACACACACATACACACTCAACCAAGAAGGATCTCATGTTGCTGCGTTTTGCATATGTTGTCATCTCTTATGGCACCGAATCGAGCATATTCGGAAAAATATAATTTTGTCGAGTAGCAGTACTATTTTTAAGTCGTTTTCTGAACATAAATTTTTGTTTCTTTTTAATTTTCTAATGAACCACCTCAGATGTTTATGTTATAAAAAAATTATTCCTAAAATGTTTCATTATATTTATCTTATTTCTAGATTATATAAAATTACTTTAATTTAACTAAAAATAATTATTACAGAAAATCAAAAAAAAAAAAAATAATAATTTCAAAATATATATTTTATTAAAGACAATATTTTTTTTATAGATATATTAGAAATTGCGATCCTTGGAGAGAGAGAGAGAGAATGATGTAAGGAAAATATATGGAGTTTGGAAACAAGTGGGATACATTTGTTAAAGGGCCTAGAATAGGAAGGGGTCAAATCAAGAACTTGAGTATAAATAATGTCAGGTATGTGATGTAGGTATATCAAGGTGTTTTGGAAATTAGTTCATATTTTTTATTTTAGAAAGAGAACTTCGTAACGTAGAATCTGGCTAAGTACAGAGAAAGATGTATGGGAAATATATGGAGTCTGGAAACAGCTTGGTTAAAGGGGCCTAGAATAGAAAGGGGTCAAATCAAGAACTTGGGAATAAACAATATCAGGTATCTGATGTAGATATATATGGTGTTTTGAAAATTAGTTCATATTTTTTTTACTTTAAAAAAGAATTTCGTAACGTAGAATCTGACTAAGGAGAGAGAAAGATGTATGGGAAATATATGGAGTTTGGAAACATGTTGACTACATTTGTGAAAGGGGTCTAGAATAGGAAGGGGTCAAAACTTGGGAATAAACAATATCAATATGTGATTGAGGTATTTATTTTTCAAGGTATTTTTTTATTTGAGAAGAGAAGAAACTGGTTGGATAAAAAACAATCAATATCAATGTCTGTGAAGAGCTAATTTCCATATTATTTTTCATTGATAGGTATTCCGTAATATCCTTACTCAAAACGCCTTAAACCTTAAAATTTCAACACAAATCCAAAGGATTATACAACATAAAATTTCCTAAAACTACCCACAAAACTCTTGACATATTTCATCGGCTGTTGGTGGGACCAGACGTTTGCAACGATTCTCCTTGGCGCGTACCATGCGAATTTGTCGCATATATTCAATGACATCATGCAGCTGCTTGAAACAAAGCAATCCGGCAGTACCTAAACTTAAATCCAAGTGACGAAAACGATTCACATTACAGGTACAGCCATCAAAAAGATAATAAAGGTGACGAGTTTCAATGACCCCCTGTTGTTGTTGTTGTTTTTGTTGAGTGTCATGACACATACAGCGGAAAACCACAAAATTACCCGTTGGCGTCATGGCCAACAAACGATCGGCTCGACTAAAACCGGCCCGTAAAAGTTTCGATAAACTTTCATAGCTACCATTTTCGGAGCCAACAACAGCCATATCAAGGGGACATTTAAAATAGCCAGGATAACGATTTGGGTCGGGTATTTTGGTGCTGGTACAATAACGTCTAATATCGAAAGTGTCCTCTTCGTCTTTTTCATCATCGGCTTCATGGCCACATGAAGTCTTTGGATATGGTGATTTTGTGTTGGATTTTTTAGGTGATTCTGTGCTAGGCCCTTCATTGTGGTCTCTGGGCGGCATTAAATTGCTTTCACCTGGCTTATTGGCTTTGTTTTTCGTGGGAGTTTCAGAGGGTTTTTCCTTTCCATCCTTAGCGTCAGGTGGAGATTTGCTTTGCTTGTCCATATCTTGTTTATTTTTATCCTCCGTGATTTTATTTTCTTTGGCTAAATTGTCGACCTCTTTGGCTGGATTCTTGTCCAGGGTTTTCTTATCTTGGGGTGATTTATTAGCGTCTTCCTTTTTTTCCTTATTCTCATCCATTTTGCTGGTGTCTTTTGCTTTCTCTTGGCCTTCCAATTTAGATGCTTCAATTGATTTCTTTTCATTTTGTGGCTTCTCATTTTTCTGCTTCTCTTTTCCCTCATTTTGCTTATCCTTGTGAGACATTGCCTCATTAGGAGCCACTTCATCCTCCACAGATTCCCCAGCCTTTTTGCGTTGCTTATCACCTGTGTCCCCGCCCTTAGATGCCTTCCCACCTTTGTTGTTCTTGCCTCCTTTTTTATTATTTTTACCCTTCTTTTTTCCACTTTTACCACTTGCTTCCCGTTTATTTTTATTGGTATCCTCATCACCACTTGACGATGATTCTAAACCTTCCATTTCTTCCTCCTCACCACCTTGGCCGGCCTCTTCTTCTTCCAGACCTTCTTCACCCTCACTCGATGAGGTTCTCAGCTCCAATTCATCCACATCTGACAACAAATCCTCATCTTCATAATCGCTGATTTCGGCCAATAGCTTTTGGCAAAAATCATCGGATTCCTCAAAGCAGACATGTTCATTCAATGATTTCACATCCACATCTGTTGGCAAAAGATCCTCTTGCATGGCATCATTACCAAACCCGGCGGGGCGATCTCTTTTTGAAATTCTCAATATCCTTAGGCTGTGTATTTGAAATCTGCTATTACGATTTGAATCCAGCAAAACATGATTGAGGGTATTCATAAAGACCGGAAAGGAGGCAAACATACGCAAACTGGCACTTTTTTCCATTTCCTCAAATGTTTCTTCAGCTGCACCACCTACCGGCTGGCCCAAAATACGATGACGAAACGGATCCAAAAGGTAGATGAAATCATTTTTCTTCCAAATGGCATAGAGTTGGTAATTGATTTGCAGCAACAGTTTGTGTTGCCCACCACTGAAGGCCTTTTGGAAGGATTCCGCCAATTCGGAATGTCTGTAGCCTGGTATACAACGCCAGAGACCTTGATATTTTGAAGTCTGCAATTCAATGCGTATCCTAAACTGAGCCATATCAAAGAGAGTGGGGAAATCCATGGCATTTATGCCTTCGGGGTTCTGTTTTGGACATGCCGCCCAACAGGCTTGACAAAATCTCACCCCAAAACACAATATCTTATCCAAGATTTTCATACTCCAAGTGGCTGGATGATCAATTTTCGATAACACAATGGCCATGACACCCGTTGGCAGGGCACTGCGATTTCTTAGGAACTCTTTGGGATTAAGGCTTAAATGCAGGGAGGCCTTCAAATAGGCATAATCATCATTAACCAGCTCCCATTGTTGTTGTCGCAAGCCATAGTCCCTTTGGACCACCTCCCCGGAGGGCATTAAAACTTTCACCATTTTCATTTCCCTTAGGCTAAAGGAATCAATCTTTGCCAGATTTGTTAGGCCCACCAAGAGGTGACGTACATTTTCCAGGGTCTTGAGACACACCAACATTGCCATACCCTTTTCCCGATCCGAGTGGAAATCCAAACGTCTGCCACAAACATCCAATACCATGTAGGCCCTCTGGGAACGCCACATCAGGACATAGATGGCATTGCCAAATGCTAACAAAACATGTTTATGGTGTTGAAAAAATTTCTTCAGAGATTTTTTCAAATCGCCCAAAGGCATCTCATCTTCATGGCCTGCATTCACGCCATCCCCTTTGGCTCCATCGTCCAGCCTGAATTTCTTCATTAATTCCACATGAAATGTACAACCGGACATTTGAAATTCTCTTTGAATTTTTCGCTCACTTTCCGTGTAAATTTGTGGCGGAGATTCAAGTTGATTCTCGTCTTTCTCCGATTGGGAGTAGAGGGTTAAACCTTCACGCATAATGTCATCGAGTAATTCGGTGGTCCACATAAATTCGGGATTTAAATAGAGTCGAGCAAAAGCTTTCAAATAGGTGGCATAGCGAGCTTGAGCTATGTCACTGGGTTTTCCTTCACTTTTGAAATTGATGCTTGAGGCAATCATGCCCACCGGAGATCCTAAAGAATTTTTGTTGGGATCTTTGGCCTTGATTACTGGAAGTGAAAAAGGGAAACGAACTTTAGAAGGGGCGAAATGGTAAATAAAGAACATTTTAAATGAAGATACAAAAAAATCTAGTAATCTGATCCTCTAAGGATGAAAAAGGATATTCTTCAGGGAAGAAAAGTTCTGATCTCGTTTCTTTTTTGGAAGAAAAAAAAAATCCATTTTATACAAATCTTCTTAAACTTTCCTGTATACTGATTTTTTTCAAATTCCAACTTACCCCTTGCCGGACACGGATAATTGGGAAATGGTTCGGTATCATGACCACCATAAATTTGACAATTTTTGGTATTACAAATCAATAGATCGGCATTTTGGGGCTCAAATTTTTGTCTACAATGATCAAAAATATTAGCTGGTATGTATTATGCGAAAATTTTTACTTACTTTCCACACATTTCAGTCCGGGGTGAGTTATGACAGGCTTTTTGAGGAGCGGCTGTCTCAGGGTCTACATTACATGATGGCTCCATATTTCAACACTTTAAAAATTTAGTAAATATTCTTTTGAAAAAAATCGCTTTATTTGAGAAAATTTTGTAACAAAAACTATTTATTTTTTATTGTTAAATTCAATAAATTATTGTTTATCTTTCTGGGTGTTATAAAAAAATTAAACTACGTTTTTATTTGCTGAAAAAAATTTGTATTTTGAAATGACAAAAATGCCAGGGAAATTTTTTGGAAATTTGTTGTAAATCTAAACTTACACCATTTCCCAAAAGAAAAATAAAATATTTTTGTTATTTTCACGAAGTTGAAATCATTTTTAGGTACCCATTTCTGATTTGTAATGGATTTATAAATATTCATATTGACAATGATATATCGTTAAATTTGTAATGGCTTTACCCATGGCAAATCCTCTCAAAAATCACTCCAACACACATTGAATCAGAAAGCTGAAAATATGGAGCGAGAAAAATGGGAATACATAAAGCACTTAAGCTGGGAATACATAAAGCGCTTATCTAGCTGGCTTAAGTCATCGTCTGGGTTCTATGAAAATGAACAAAGGGGCCTAGGGCCAAAATTGAACTAAGTCAACCTAAAACTCCTTTGTTCATCTACGAAGAAGCCAGCCAATGACTTAAGCCAACCAAATATGCGCGTTATGTATTTCCACCCTAATATCCGAAATGTTGGCCGGTTCTTCATGGGTTCTAGGAAAACTTCACATGCCACAAATAAACTTATAACCCCATGGAAATTAGCGGCTGTGGCACTCATATTTTTCACTTAACCCAAGCAGATATTTAAATTTTCATTCGACACTTTCTGGCCTATATTTTCTCTTATGTTTTGTGTACAGCATGAATAATATGGCATTCCAAAGCTTCTAATGTTGCCCACATTTAAAATTTCATAGAAAAATTGAATGGAAATCGTAACGTAATATTTTTATTTGGAAGGATCACAACCACGACGTAACGTATAGGTAACGTTACAAATGTAATGACTACTGATAAAATAAATACAACGTAACGCTTTAGTTTGGCACTGAATAGTGGCGTTTGGCATCTGGCGAATTTTTTAATATTATTAATGCTATTTATATTTATTTTTCTATTCATTTTATTGAGATACTTAAGATACATGGAATAAAAAAACTAGGCTGGAGAAAACTATTGGTATGCACATGAAGCCTTTCCATGATTTTATGCTAAACGCATTTTATTAACAGAATGACAAAAAATAGAGGTAGTCTCAAATAAGAAGTATTTCATATCTAAAATATTTACGTTTGACGGGTGGCATATTTAACAAAAAAAATTATAAATAATCTCTTATTTGCGGTGTTCTTTGAAAAGTTCAAAATCGTTCGTTTTTGGTTGTAGCATCCTCAGATTTCGTACGATTTGGTGAACTACAAATTAAGTGTAAATATGACAACATTATACAGGTTAAGCCACTCTCCCTACATCTGTTAAAATTATTCCAGTGACAACGCATTATATTGTTTACAAGCGTACAAAAGCATTTTGAAGAGAATTTTTCCAGAAAATAAGTTATTCGTGATGGGATTCAAGCCTGATATTGTGATTTTTTTATATTCGGCTGGAGAACCACAAATGGCTATCGTTAGAGCACTCCAGCATTTAAATGTGAATAAATATTTTGTGTCTCGTACCATGATACTGGTAGGGTAGGCCGTCGCCAAGGAAGCGGAAAACAGCAACATCAGCAGAAAAGTAACGACATGATCGAAACCCGCGTTACAGTGGCTGAAAAAATGGCTGAACATATCGCAATATTCCATTCGGCAAATATTGAAAAATAAGCGCAGGGTAAAGCCATTGAAATTCCAAAAAGTGCAAGAACTTACACCGCAACAGAAAGAAAATAGACTCAAAAGAGCTAAAGAGTTGCTTCGCTTGGCCGAAAGTGGTGAACTGCCAAATTTGGTTTCCTCCGATGAGAAAACATTTGTTGTCCTGCAGTTTGTAAATAAACAAAATGATCGTGTTACTTGACAAAGATGTCAGCTGAAAATGTGCACCATCGGTTGGTTGGCAGAACTCAAGCGCCGGCCATGGTGATGGTGTGGGCCGTGGACCGTGGCATCAGAATAAATGCCAAATATTATCGTCAAAATATTCTGAAGGGTGTATTAAAGCCTTGGGCACGCAAACATTGTGACCGCAGACCTTGGACATTTCAACAGGACACCATCGCAATCAGCACGCCACCACCACCCAAGAATGGTTACAAAATGAGGTTTCTCGCTTAATTTCCAGCGCACAATGGCCACCAAAATCTCCGGATACCAATTCGTTGGGCTATTATGTCTGGAGTATTTTGCAGGGAAAGCAAGGTTGGCACTAAAAAATATCAATGTGTCGATCACCTCAAGCAAGCACTTCGCCGGGTGTGGGCCAAAATACCGCAGTTCAACATTCGTGCAGCGTGTGACGGTTTCATTGGACGTTTGAAGGTCATAATTCGTGCCAAAGGTGAAAAATTCGAACAAATCAATACTTTTTCTAAAATTTGATGCTATTTCCGATATTTTTGCTTTCATTTAAAAAAATTTAAAAAAAATGTAAAACTTAGAATTAAAAAATATATGGAAATAAATGTAAATTTCTTGTCAAATGTGCGCCCATATTTAAGGAGGTACTACCAAACATAAATTTGACAATAAAGTGACAACAAATAACAAAAATTGTAGTGGTATAATTGCATGTGATTACCTTTGTGAATGTACCATGTTACGCCCTATCGCCATTATATTGAAAATCAAACAACTCATTTTGAAATATGTTTTCTTATTTTGTGTGTGTATTTCTTTTCGTTTTATTTTTTATGTATATTTCTAGTATTTGTATTTTGTTGTTGTTGTTTATAAGTAATATGCCTTATTTTTTATTATAATATTTTGTTTAAGTTTTCTTGTTTTTTAATTTCATTTCGATTTGTTTTGAGTTTTTTTTTCTTTCATTTTCTTCTCCAGTACTTCTCCATTATTTTGTTAAATGTATATATTAATAATTATTTTGTTTTATAATCATCTTCTTTGTGTATATAAGCTAAAAATGTTTTGTTTTTGTTGTATGTATTATGTTGGGTGTAAGATCAGCTTAAAATAATAAATATTTGTTTTTTTCTGTTTTGTTTGCATATTACATTTATTATATCATATCTTACTTAGTTATAAAGTAATTGTGTTTTGTATATAATTTTCATGTTTTGTTTTGTTTGTCGTTTCTTAATATTATGTATTTTTTTTTGTTTTTCTTTTATTACAATAACATGTCATCAAAAAATTTGTATTTTTATGCAGCACAAAAAATATAATAATTTCGTTTGTTTTTGTTTTTTTTTTTCATAATTTGCATTAAGGCACTCAAGCAAAGATTTTTGTGCAAGTATATTTTATATCGGGGATAGCTGATTGTTGTTGGAGTTTTTTTTTTTGGTTTTTTTTTAAGCAACATAACATAAAAGGATTCACAAACATGGAAAGTTTCACTAACAAAATAAGCAAGAACATTATTCTTAGGGTTGAAGTACATAAGAAGCTTGAATTCATGGTTAGGCATATTTTATGACATTTCATAAAGGGATTACAGAGCCGGGCTAAAATCCTGCCGTCGTTTTCCATTATAATTTGACATTAATATGATTAGCCATGAATTCATGCTTTTTATGTACTTGCACCTTTAGTTGTTTTTCCATGAAACTTACCATGCATGTCAAATTCCAAAGTTTTAAAATGCAACGGAAAGTTATACACATCAATATTGGCAATGTAATGATAATAATAAATTCCTTATTTTAAAATTTGTAACAGAATGTAGAGCAACATTAAGGGGGAAACCGCGGAAACATTTTGTTTGTGTAATGCCTCTAGGAATTTGTAAATACTTGACAGTTTTTCTGCCAAATATCGTTACAATATGCAACTGATTTAAAGAATTAAATGTATTTGATATAAATAATTAAAGCTTTATTTTTTTGTAAAGGTTTTTACAATTTACCATTTTAAAACAATATCTTTTAGCATAACGTTAATCTTACTTTACATTCCATTACGTTGTACTACACGGCAATACAATGCAGTGTTGCCAACTCTTTTACGGGGCATACTTCAATTATAACCATAGACATTCATTTGTCTATGTTATAACTGCCCAATGAGGGCATCTCTGTTGTAAACAACAAAACCATGAGAGAGAGAACATTAATTACTCTCTGTTATCATATGGAATGATGATCTCAAGGGTTTTCTTTTTATTTTTTTCTTACTAACCAATTAATGAATTAAAATTAACTAAAATCTAATTGATTAAAGAATAAACCAAAATTTTTGTAAAATAATACAAAATAAGATATGTTAACATTATGATCTAAAGCAAACACATGTTTATGGGTATTATAGAGACTAACAGCTACGATAGCAATTAAAGTTGAACAAAACCACAGACTTATTGAGTTTAAACTTAAAGTTTCCTAAAATAAAAATAAACAAAAAATGTTATTAAAAACTAAAATATTTGTATTTTCCTTTTCACTTACAACTAGACATAAGTATATATATTTTTTTGTAGTTAACTAAAAAAATTAATTATTTTTATTTGTAGTTTGTGTTTTTATATGCAGTTTGTTGTTGTTGTTTTCTTATTTATTTGTAGGACGTATGTTGATTTTTATTGTTATTTACTTATGTTTTTTTCTGTTTTCTAAATTAAAACTACACACATCGACACAACTGCTGGGACAGTGAACTGTCAAACCAATTTTGGAAATGAAAATGTTGAATAAAAAATTATTTAAATTTATAACAATTGTTGAAAAACGCAAATTATAATAAGCTCCGAATGACGTCGTATAAGAAAACGTATAAAAATCTACTTATATTTGAAAGAACATTTAAATTTTTTTGTCATATCCCAAGTCATGATGCATCTACCTGCATTCTTCTACTATGCCAAAGAAAAAAGGAGAATAGGGTGACCAAATATTATTTATGGGCTGAAATTGAACTAAAGATGAGGGTACATAAGCAGCTTGAAGTTTTCACATTACAAATCATAAAGAGCGGCACTTGAATCCTGCTGTCGGTTTTCCTTATAATTTGGCATTAATATGCCTGCTTATGTACCCACACCTTAACACAACCTACCCAGCGCTTTATGCTTTCTCACCTATAAGTCGATAAAAAAAGCCTTCTAGGTATCTACACCTTTATTGGTCCTTCCATGCCTGGCTCCTGAGTTACTTATCTATATTAAAACATATTTTTTATAAAATTTCCAAACACAATTTTTTTGAAGAATTTTTTCTTTTCGTAGAAATTGAGAACATTTTTTTTTGTGAATTTTTTCAACATTTTTTAAATTTTTTAGAATCACAGTACAAGTTTTTAATTTTATTTTCAAAAAGTTAACATTTTTTTTCAAAATATTTATGTGAAATTTTTTCAGCTTTTGATTATTTTGAGGAATTTGTACAGAATATGTTACATACTAATTCATTTGTTTACATTGTATACTGAGAAATTGCTGAGTTAGCCTTGTGTTCCACAAAAGTGAGGTTAGGAAGGAAAGAATCTTTAATTTTCGTAAAAAAAAGTTCCTGATTTTTTTAATTCGAGAATTTGGAGCAGCGTTTACAGCACTGACAGTGACAATTCTTCATATTTTAGGAAGTCATTTTTATCTTAAAAAAAGAAATATTTAATTCTGCAAAAAGTAGGGTTAAGTTTACAATTTTTTTTGAGGTAAAGTACAATTTGTTTTTACTTTGAAATAGCATTGAATAGATTTTTTTAACAGGAAATATTAGAAGGAATCATGTCATAGAAAACAATTTTATCCAATTTTAATCAAAACATGTTTAATACGAAAACTGAAAATCTAAAAATTGAAATTCTATGTGAAAAACTTTTGGCAAAGTTTCAAAGATTTCAAACTAGATTTTAGTTTTTCAAGCAAAAAAAAAAATCGTAAAAAATCAAGCAAAAAAAAAATAATAATAATAAGTCTCTGTAGCCCCTAATAATGAGGAAAACGTTCCAAAAGAAAATTAAAGCCAAAATACAACCAGGATTAAAAGAGCGATCATACATTGAAGCCCCATTCAGTAGCCTAATTTGAATTAAAATATCTCACAAATATTTGCTTTTAAACAGAGGAACATTGTTTACAATAATATCTCAACTCAACATAATACCCCAGTCTTTTTGAATTTGTTGACAACATGCAGAGGGAAACGAAATAGACCCATAATTCCTTTTGATGACTTCCATAGAATCATATTTTTAGTCGATTTTGGCCTGTCCTTCCGTCTGTCCACGGTGGTAGTTCATCAAAACAAATCTTGAAAAAGGGTTTCAGACTCCTAATACTCCAAATTTTTTTCCAGCAAAAAGAAATAGCATGCTATAATGATGTGCAAATGTCAAATCATAACGCCTAAAAGTATGCAGTGTCAAATAGAACAATTGGGCGATGTAAAGTTGTGTGGAGTAATGGCTTGTGAATATTATATGAAAAAATATAATATTAAGTGGAAAACTTAGACAAATGGACACAGGGGAATACAATTGGGCTTTCCAAGGTGTTCCTGGAGAGGGCGCATGGCTTCTCGTTTCTGTGCAGGAAGATTTTTTGTTACACAATGAAAACAAATGAAAATTGTGGGGCTCGTTGATTCTTTTTGTCTGAAAACAAGTAAAAAGCTGTAAGTTCGGCCGGGCCGATCTTTGAATACCCCCCACCATTTGGAACGAATTTGGCAATTTTCAAAAAAAAAAAAAAAAATCCGTTAAAAATTCTGTTAAAATCGTCTAAAAGACGACGTGGACCTGCATAGGCAACTTTTATCATAAGCCATCACAATATTCAAATGCAAAACTTGAAAAAAATCGGTGAATAATGTAGCTAAAATCATCAATATAGGGAGGTACTATTATATGGGGGCTATACCAAAATGTGAACCTGCACAGACAATTTTCTGCCTTAGGCTGCAGTATCCATTACGAACTTCAAATACCAAATTTGAAATAATTCCGGTGAATAATGTCGCTAAAATCGTCAGAACACCGATTATTGGGAGGTACCGTTATATGGGGGCTATACCAAAACGTGGACCTACATGGCTCATTTTCAATACCAGAAGTCCTGCAGACATAATATACATTTGAGTAAAATTTTATCAATCTACTTCATTTCGTTCGGAAGCTAAAGGGATTTCCACAGACGGATAGACGGACGGTAATCGCTAAATCGGCATAGAATTATTTGTGGGGTCTAAAATGTATATTTCGAGGTGTTACAAACGGAATGACAAACTTAATATATGCCCATACTATGATGGAGGGTATAAAAATCATTATTGAAATGATAATTTATTGGAAAGTGGAGAAAATGGAAGTCACCTGCGGAAAAATGTTTTCTTCTATGTTTTCTCTTACGTAAAAATGTTATGTCAATTTTAGGACATTTTTTAATGGCCATGAATTTCTTATACGGTAAGTGCTTCCCCAAAGTATCTCACTGCAATAGCCTGTTAAAATAGGTTTCCAAGATATTTAAAAAAAGTCTGGCTTGTTGTAGTCATATTTCCCAAAAGTTGTCGCAATTCTGCCACGGAAAAGATTTTGGGGAGATATTTTAAAATATTGTAATCCAAGATCTTCAAAAAAAGCCTTAAGTAAAATATTCAAGAGCTTCTTTAAATTTCTCGAAAAAATTAAAGTTTTCTAAAAAAAAAATAATTAAAAATTGTGAGGTTATGTTTCCGTTTTTTTCTATTTTTTGTAAGAATTTTTGTTTGTGTGTGTCGAGATACATTCAGATATATTCATGAAATATTCAGGAGCTTCTTTAAATTTCTCGAAAAAATGTTTAAACTTGTGAAACTAAATTTAAAATAGCTGAGGTTATGTTTCTGTTTTTTTTTCATTTTTTTAAGAATTTTTGTTTGAGAAATGTTTAGATATATTCATAAAATATTCTTTAAATCTCTCGAAAAATGTTTAAAACTTGTGAAACAAAATTTAAAATAGTTGAGGTTATGTTTCTGTTTTTCTTCTTCTAACTTTTTGTAAGAATTGTTGTTTGTATGTTTCGAGATGTATTCATAACATATTCAGGAGCTTTTTTAAATTTATCGAAAAAAAATATTTAAAACCAAACGAAACCAAAATTTTTTTTTAGAATTTTTGTTGGTGTATGTCGAGATATATATGAAGCTCATAAAATATTCAGGAGCTTCTTTAAATTTCTCGAAAAAATATTTAAATCTTGTGGAACAAAACTTAAAATAATTGAGGTTATGTTTCTGTTTTTGTATCCAATTTTTTTTCTTAAGAAATTTTGTTTGTGTGTGTCGAGATATATTCATAAAATACTCAGGAGCTTCTTTAAATTTCTCGAAAAAAAAATATTTAAAACTTGCGAAACCAAAATTTAAAATAGTTGAGGTTATGTTTCTGTTTTTTTCTTCTAATTTTTTGTAAGAACTTTTGTTTGTGTGTCTGGATATATATGTAGCTCATAAAATATTCAGGAGCTTCTTTAAATTTCTCAAAAAAAAAAAATCATTTAAAACTTGCGAAACCAAAATTTAAAATAAAAATAGGTTATGTTCCTTTTTTTTTCTTCTAATTTTTTTGTAAGAATTTTTCTTTGTGTGTGGAGATATATATGTAGCTCATATATATATTTTTTGTTTAAAGTAAATAACATAGATTATATTAAATATTAGATACATACACTTATATATAAATTGGGTAATTATAATAATAATAACATTAATTATAATTAAATAAAATAATTTACTTAACATTTTCGTTTGCTTTATAAGTGTGTGTTGTGTTTTCTTTGTTTTTTTGTTTGAGTATATCAATATAATATACTTATTGGTTACATACATACAAATAATCAATAGCATAGATTAGGGGTAATCCAATTCAATTTGAAAATTGGAAAGTTCAACTGAAAATCTTTTGTTTTTTTTTGTGGGTTTGAGATAATTTTTGCCAGCAAATGGCAGGTAGGAGGAAAGAGGCGAAGATTTTTTTCAAGATACTACCTTTTTTTCGTTTATCAAATTTTGAGGTTATGGTCATTTGTGTGTTTATTTTTTCCCCCAAGGGCCTGGTATAGAAAATTTGTGTTTGTTGTCTGAAAATTGACAAGGTTCAAGGCTTTTCAGCCCTGGAAAAATAACTACATAAGACCGGAGAGGTCATAAGCTTTTTAGAAAAAACTTTAGTTTTTAAATATCTTCTTTGGAGAGCCTTAATTGATGCATATGGACTTGGAATTAACATCGAAAACTTCATTACACCATAATCTCAAATATCTGGAGGATATACTCAGATCCTCTGAGAAATCTTCAATATTATCTGTTGGAGATCTCCATCTGCCAGATATTTCTTATTGCACCTTGAACATATTTCTTCAAAACAATTTACGGGTGAGGTTCTAGTTGTTTGGGTTTTTTTTTGTTTGGCAAACACAATGGCAAATAATAGTGGTACTCCCTTTCAAGGGCCAAGTTTACGGGTTAAGAAGGGCAAGTATCTTTACCTTTTACAAAACTTTGTGAATTTTCAAACCATATTTATGGCGCCATCTTTGTCATAGGTTGGTATTGAAATAATATCATTTTTGTTATTACGTTGCTGCTGCTGTGGTTTTTTGCTGCTAAAGGAAGACTGTTTAGGAGAATCCCCTTTTCTAGCTGCTACGGCTGCTGCTGCTGATGTTGTTGTTGTTGTATCAGCAATATTTGAGACTGAGTTCTTCTTCTTATTGTAAGCTGTTAATTGTACTTGTCGTTGTTGTTGGTGTATGGCTGATGAAACAGTTGGCAAGTCATAAGATTCTTCTTCCTCATCGTCGTCATCATCTTCTCCAGACTCTGTATCACTTGATTCCGTTTCCGAATACGATGTTGTGGTGTTATTTTCTATTAGCTGATTTTGTGTGGTACTAGCTGCCACGGCCATTTTTTGTAATGCCTCCGGCATATCGGGATTACTTTCCAATGTTGAGTGTTGACTCGAAGGTGAGTGACTGTACTCCGAGGTATTTTCCTCATCTGAAATGATGATGGTGTTACGTTTGTGGCTCTGTATGGGCATTTTTGGTGTTATGGGTGTTTTGTAGCTACGTCGGGGTCGTCCACGACCTATGGGAAGACGGCCAATGCTGAGGAAAACAAACCAAAAATAACCTCTGTAAATACTCCAGGAAACCATTACTCTGTGTTTCACTTACCTTCTTCTCCTTAGGGAATAATTGTAATCGGTATCCTCTCCCTCTTCATCGGACCAGCTGTCATTACAAAATTCCTCATTTGACTCGCCATTGGCATTTGTGACATCACCACAACTGGCCAATGATTGTGACTGCTGCAGCTGCTGCTGGTGTGGCTGTTGTTGCTGCTGTCGTCCCGAATTCCTATGCAAACCTGCACACCTGGACAACCGGGGTGTACGCATTTCCACCGCTGTCGAACCATTGTTAACATCCAACACCTCATGCATGCTTGTCAAACATTCCGAATTGCCATTTTCCGGCGTCAAAGGTTGTGATGTATTCGCCTGGTTACCAATGGGAGGCGTATGACCATTTGTTGAGGTATTCGACAAGGAGGATTGCATGGAAAGACGATTTTCATTGATCAGTTCAATGACTTTACGTCCCAGCCTCTCGAGATTTTCATTATCACTACAACAATCGGCAATATCCAGACGTTCATTGCTGTTCATAACATCATCCAATAGCTGGTCGGGACTAGAGCAGGCATCTTGAAAGGTAACATCACTGGTGGTCAGCGAACCATTGCCGTTTGGGCTTGTGGGTGTTATGGCCTGGGGTGATGTTGTATTGTATTGAGCTGCTTGGGGTATTCGTTGTTGCTGTTCGCTCAACGCATGATTGTGATGCATACTTCGGGGCTGCGCGATTAAATTACAAGCTGCTGCTGTCGTCGCCGCCGCCGCCGTCTGGGGTTGGGCAAATTGTTGTTGTCGTTGTACGTTCAAGGAAATATCTATGGCTTGTGATAGTACAGGGCAGTGATTTAACATTGTCGCCATGTCATGCGTGGCAAAATAGGCGCTGGGACTAATATCCGGTTCACTAACATCCATGGCATCCGTTTGAGTTTCTGTATCGACCATTTTATTTTTACGATTTTCCGGTTCACTTTGATAGCGTCGATCACGACTAGGACTATATCTGGGTGCCGCAGTGGCAAAGGTACCTGAGCCAACACGACGATGTCGAGATTTGTTTTTAGATTTTTGTGTCGCTACACAAAAGGATTTCGTCTGGCATGTATTGCCATCCAATTGAGCATAGAGAGCACATTTGACGGGACTCTGTGAGAAAGAAAGAAATAAACAAATTTTTAGGTTAATTTTCGTTTTCATCACTTTCTTCCCCAAAACGTAACTTTAGAGCTTGAGTGTTAAAAGAAAAAATGATCTACATGGAATTCCACTATAGGCCATGGACCAAAAGAAATCTACAACTACGACATTTAACAGGAAAAAATTCACTACCAAATTTTATATATGAAAGGGCTATTTGTTTAAAACTAATTTTTAGGTTAATTTCGATTTCTACCACTTTCTTCCCCAAAAACGTAACTTTAGAGCTTAGTTATCAATGGAAAAAATATTCTACACAGAATTTCCTTAAGGGTCATTGACCAACAGAAATCGGTAGCTACGATATTTGTTACACAAATAGGACTATCAATTTATATATCTCAAAATACAATTTGGTTAAAAATAATTTTTAGATTAATACCGAATTGCGTCAGTTTCTTCCACAAAGCGTATCTATAGAGCCTAAGTGTCAATGGAATAAATGTTCCTCATCGAATTTCACTATGGGTCATCGACCAAAAGAAATCTACAGCTACGATATTTAATAAGAAAATTTTCATTATCAAATTTAATATATGAAAGTACTATTTGTTGAAAACTAATTTTTAGGTTAATTTCGATTTCTACCACTTTCTTCCCCAAAACGTAACTTTAGAGCCTAGTTATCAATGGAAATAATATTCTACACTGAATTTCGTTATGGGTTATTGACCAACAGAAATCGGTAGCTACGATATTTGTTAGACAAAATAGCATTATCAAATTATGTGTATGAAAATATAAATTGGTTAAAATTTATTTTTAGATTGATACAGAATTGCGTCAGTTTCTTCCACAAAACGTAACTTTAGAGCCTAAATGTCATTGGAAAAAAAGTTCCGCATCGAATTCCACTATGGGTCATCGACCAAAAGATATCGATAGCTACGATATCTAACAGGAAAAATGTCACTACCAAATTTTATATATGAAAGTACTATTTGTTTAAAACTAGTTTTTAGGTTAATTTCGATTACTACCATTTTCTTTCCCAAAACGTAACTTTAGAGCCTAGTTGTCAATGGAAAAAATATTCTACACTGAATTTCGTTAAGGGTCATTGACCAATAGAAATCGGTAGCTACGATATTTGTTAGACAAAATAGCATTATCAAATTATGTGTATGAAAATACAAATTGGTTAAAATTTATTTTTAGATTAATATCGAATTGCGTCAGTTTCTTCCACAAAACGTATCTTTAGAGCCTAAGTGTCAATGGAATAAATGTTCCGCATCGAATTTCACTATGAGTCATCGACCAAAAGAAATATACAGTTACGATATTTAATAAGAAAATTTTCATTATCAAATTTTATATATGAAAGTACGATTTGTTTAAAACTAATTTATAGGTTAATTTCGATTTCTACCACTTTCTTTCCCAAAACGTAGCTTTAGAGTATAGTTGTCAATGGAAAAAATATTCTACACTAAATTTCGTTATGGGTCATTGACCAACAGAAATCGGTAGTTACGCTATTTGTTACACAAATAGCATTATCAAATTATATGTCTCAAAATACAATTGGGTTAAAATTTATTTTTAGATTAATACCGAATTGCGTCAGTTTCTTCCACAAAACGTATCTATAGAGCCTAAGTGTCAATGGAAAAAATGTTCCGCGTCGAATTCCACTATGAGTCATTGACCAAAAGAAATTGATAGCTACGATATTTGTCACACAAATAGCATTATCAAATTATATGTATCAAAATACAATTTGGTTAAAATTTATTTTTAGATTAATACCGAATTGCGTCAGTTTCTTCCCCAAAACGTAACTTTAGAGCCTAAATGTCAATGGAAAAAATGTTCCGCATCGAATTCCACTATGGGTCATCGACCAAAAGATATCGATAGCTACGATATCTAACAGGAAAAATTTCACTTCCAAATTGTATATATGAAAGTACTATTTGTTGAAAACTAATTTTTAGGTTAATTTCGATTTCTACCGCTTTCTTCCCCAAAACGTATCTTTAGAGCCTAGTTATCAATGGAAGAAATATTCTACACTGAATTTTGTTATGGGTCATTGACCAACAGAAATCGGTAACTACGATATTTGTCACACAAATAGCATTATCAAATTATATGTCTCAAAATACAATTGGGTTAAAATTTATTTTTAGATTAATACCGAATTGCGTCAGTTTCTTCCACAAAACGTATCTATAGAGCCTAACTGTCAATGGAAAAAATGTTCCGCATCGAATTTCACTATGGGTCATCGACCAAAAGAAATCGATAGCTACGGTATTTAACAGGAAAAATTTCACTACCAAATTTCATATATGAAAGTACTATTTGTTTAAAACTAATTTATAGGTTAATTTCGATTACTACCATTTTCTTTCCCAAAACGGAACTTTAGAGTCTAGTTATCAATGGAAGAAATATTCTACACTGAATTTCGTTATGGGTCATTGACCAACAGAAATCGATAGCTACGATATTTGTTAGACAAAATAGCATTATCAAATAATATGTATAAAAAAAATTGGTTAAAATTTATTTTTAGATTAATACCGAATTGCGTCAGTTTCTTCCACAAAACGTATCTATAGAGCCTAAGTGTCAATGGAAAAAATGTTCCGCATCGAATTTCACTATGAGTCATCGACCAAAAGAAATCTACAACTTCGACATTTAACAGGAAAAAATTCACTACCAAATTTTATATATGAAAGTACTATTTGTTTAAAACTAATTTATAGGTTATTTTAGATTTCTACCACTTTCTTTCCCAAAACGTAACTTTAGAGCCTAGTTATCAATAGAAAAAATATTCTACACTGAATTTCGTTAAGGGTCATTGACCAACAGAAATCGGTAGCTACGATATTTGTTAGACAAAATAGCATTATCAAATAATATGTATAAAAAAATTGGTTAAAATTTATTTTTAGATTAATTTCGAATTCTGCCAGTTTCTTCCCCAAAATCTAACTTTAGAGCCTAAGAGCCATTAGAAACTATGTTCCTCATCGAATTTCACTATGGGTCATCAGCCAACTGAAATCTCTAGCTATGATATTTAACATAAAAAATCCCAATATCAAATTATATGTACAACATAAGCATTTTGTTGAAACTAAATTTTAGGTTAAATTCGATTTGTACCAGTTTCAACCCCAAAATGTAACTATAGAGCCCAAGTGCCAATGGAAAATATGTTCCGCATCGAATTTCACTATGGGTCACCAACCAACCGAAATCTCTAGCTACCATATTTAACATAAAATGTGTCATTGTCAAATTATATGTACAATATAAGCATTTTGTTCAAACTAAATTTTAGGTTAGGTTCAATTTATACCAGTTTCATCCCCAAAATGTTACTATAGGGCCTAGCTCTCAATAGAAGAAATATTCTACATAAAATTCCACTATGGGTCACCGACTAACCCAAGTACATAGCTATAATAATTATAATGGAAAAAAATGTTTTCCAATTGCCCCCATTTTGGCTTCCAGTTTTACCTCTGGTGTTGTTTCGGGATTTGGTGTCGAAGATTGCTCTTGTTGTGGCTGCTGTTGCGTTTGCGTTTGACTACTGGAAGCAGCTGTTAGCATGGCTGGTGGTGCATTAAGTCTACGTCTATAATACTGCATTTTACGTAACGTTGTACCGAAACGTTTCGACGGCTTGTAGCCGGGCAATTTCTTTTCTCGCCTGCAATCAAACATGAATTAGATGCAAGGACATCTTGCAAACGCTTGCGAAATACTTACTCGGCAATTTCTTTTTCCTTCTCCTGCAGCTGAGACATACATTCACTCAATTCCAAATACAAACGATTGGTTTTCTCCAATTTATCCTCATAGACCATGCGTATATCTTGAGCATGTCGCCATTCGGCGGTTCGACGCCTTATCAAGTCCTGCTCGAATTTGTGTATGCTTGTACCATTTTGAGTCATCTCCTTCATGTGGGAGCGTACCTCTTCCTTCCACGAACGTTGAGTTTCGAAGTATTGTTTTTCCGTTTTGCGCAGCAATTCGGGACCGGCAATTTCCAAATGGGAAAGAATTTGCCGAAATGATGGACGGTTTCGGGGTTTTGTTTTCCAGCACAATTTCACGAGGAGTTTGAAACCTTCCGGACAACTGGAGGGTATGGGCAGCTTAAGGGAATTATTACCCACACCCCATATTATGGCTGAGGAATCGACATCTTTGTAGGGTATTTCACAGGTCAACATTTCCCAGAGAACAACGCCATAGGACCAAATGTCTACCTTTTCAGAGCAGGGTTCGTTGCGTATGACCTCGGGAGCCATCCAGGCCACAGTGCCAGCGAAACTCATTTTCGTGCTAATCTCGTTCCATTCACGGCTTGTGCCAAAATCACTGATCTTGACCAATTGTTCGGCACTTATAAGGATACTGGAAAGAAGAAGAAGAATGAAATTAGCAGTGGTATCCCTAGAAGAAGGTGTTCTGCTACTCACTTTGGACTCTTTAGATCTCTGTGTATGATCTTGTGGGAATGTAAATACTGCATGCCCAAGGCAATTTGTTTCGACCAGGAAACTAGGCGGGACGGTAACATGAACTCTGTTTCTTTGAGTATATTTTGTAGAGGGCCATAGGGGCAGAATTCCATGATGATACAATAAACCGGTGATTGGGTACAGACACCTCTGCAAGAGAAAAAATTAACAAAAGATTAAAAATTTCGCCATAACCTCAAAAATCCGTATCTCAGACAACTCACTTGAATTTAATGATATTCTCATGATCCAATTTTCGTAAATGCTTTATGTCCGTCTCCTTGACATCTTTCACCTTCTTCACGGCGACAATTTCATTTTTCAGTTTGCCACTGAAAACCGCACCTTGGGCGCCACTACCCAACCACTGGAGATCGGTTATCGACTCAAAGGGTATTTCCCAATCTTCGGTCTTTTGGTTTTTAATTTCAATTACACCCGCCTTGCCAATGAATGAGAGGACGGGTTTCATACAACCCAACAGGCCATACATCCAGCCAATGGGTTTGTCGCCATGGCCAAATGTCCCCCCATTGGGTGGCCATCGATGTTGGCAGGTGTTTTCGGCACTGCTGTCGCTTAAATCGACGACAACATTTTTGTGTGGCTGGTGTTGATGTTGATGTGTAATTTCGGGTTTGTAAGGCAAATCGGTAGGACCGCCTAGACCCAGGTGACCAAGGTCTTCCTGTAGGCAGGCAATGCTGGAAGGAGAGTAAAAAAAGATGAAGATAAGTAACATGAAGTAAAAATAATTAAGTAATAATTTACAGAATATTTAATATAACAGTTTGGAATCAAAAAAATTGCGTTACATGTTTTTTTCATGTTGTATAACAGTTATCGGAGATTGTTTTAAACAGGATTTCTACTGTATCACAGTGTATATGTGTTTGGAAAAGTGGAGCTCTTAAATTTTTCGAAATATTTTTTTGTATAACAGTTTTTTGTCGCAGTATAACAGTTGAAGAAAACTGTTATATGACTAGAAAATGTCTTAGATTTCCACTGTATATCAGATTATATGTTTTTTAAATGAAAAACTTAAATTTTTCTGCATATATTTTCTGGTATAACAGTTTTTTGCCACTGTATAACAGTTATGGAAAACTGGTAAGTGTTAATTCGGTAAGTGGGGATATTGTTTCTGCAATTTTTTGACAATTCTGGGATGAATAAACATCTGTATAACAGTTTAAATTTTTCCTATTTAATGCAGTATAACACTTTCATTGGTAATGTTGACATCGTGTAATATTGTAAATGTTATATAAGTTGTTAGTAATTAATTCAGTGTCTGTATAATTGTTAAAATTTTGAAATTTTAATGCAGTATAACACTTACGAGAGATTCTTTTGTCATTGTATAACAGTTTAATATTGTAACCGATTACGTGTGTTAACTTCAAAGATAACTGCTAATATCTTTTATGTATTTACAATATTAAACTGCTAAAATATGGCAAAAATTCATGCATGCATAACTGTTATACTATGAACTTTTTTGTTTTATATAACAGTTTTGCTCATAAAAACATCGGATAATGTATCTAAGCTTCAAAAAATAATATAAACTAAAATTTTTTCATGTATAACAGTTTGATTTGTGACGCGAAACTTTGTATAACAGTTTCAATTTTACTAAAATCATAACATTAGGCCATAATAAGGCAAGGGCATGCTATGTCAGATGTTAACAATCCATTTCGTCGTCGTATAACAGCTTGAATGCTTTATTTTATGTAGTATAACAGTTTAATTTTTATCTTTTTTGTAGATTTTAGTTGGTATCAAATTTATATTGTCTGTTAGGCCTCTTTAAATCAGTTATTTATATGACTTAGCTCCAAAAACTATAACTAACTACCAAAATTTCATGTATAACAGTTTGATTTATGTAGCAAAATTTTTGTATAACAGTTTAAATTTTACTATTTTCATAACACTGAGTTATAATAAGACAAGAACATGTTGTATTAAATGTAAGCAGCCCATTTTAGGTTTGTATAACAGTTTGGATTTTTTATTATATACTTCAAAATTTTATTATATATAACAGTTTTCCTCATAAAATCAACGGATAATATGTCCGAAATCCAAAAACTAATATTTACCACCAATTTTTTCATGTATAACAGTTTGATTCATGAAACGAAATTTTGTATAACAGTTTAAATTTTATTATTTGCACAGCACTAAGCAATGTTAAGACAAGAACATGATATTGGGGTTTGTATTACAGTTTTATTTATTTGGTGTGTGTATAACAGTTTAATTTATGAATTGAAAATTTTGTATAACAGTTCAAATCTTACTATTTTCATAACACTGAGTTATAATAAGTCAAGAACATATTGAATTAGATGCAGCCACCCATTTTAGGTTTGTATAACAGTTTGATTTTTTTATTTTATACTTAAAAGATTTATAATATATAACAGTTTTCCTCATAAAATCAACGGATAATGTGTTCGCGATGTAAAAAATAATATTAACCACCAAATTTTTCATGTATAACAGTTTGATTCATGAAACGAAATTTTGTATAACAGTTTAAATGTTATTATTTTCCGTAAGTACTAAGCAGTGTTAAGACAAGAACATGTTATTGGGGTTTGTATAACAGTTTGATTTATTTGATGTGTGTATAACAGTTTGATTTATGAAGTGAAAACTATGTATAACAGTTTAAATTTTACTATTTTCATAACACTGAGCTTTAATAAGGCAAGAACTGGTTATATTAGATGTAGGGAACCCATTTGAGGTTTGTATAACAGTTTGATCTTTTTATTATATACTTAAAAATGTTATTATATATAACAGTTTTCCTCATAAAATCCATTGATAAGATGTCTGAGCTCCAAATATAATATTAACCACCAAATTTTTCATGTATAACAGTTTGATTCATGAAACGAAATTTTGTATAACAGTTCAAATGTTATTATTTGCACAGCATAAAACAGTGTTAAGCCAGGAAAATGTTTTTGGGGTTTGTATAACAGTTTGATTTATTTGGTGCGTGTGTATAACAGTTTGATTTATGAAACCAAATTTTTGTATAACAGTTTAAATTTTACTATTTTCATAAAACAAAACTATAACAAGGCAAGAACATGCTATATTAATTGTTAGCGAGCCATTTGAGGTTAGTATAACAGTTTGATTTATGAAGCAAAATTTTGTATAACAGTTAAAATGTTAACTTTTTCGCAACCATAAGCTACGCTAATGCAAGTACATGTTGTATTAGATGTATGCAACCCATTTGGTGCTTGTATAACAGTTTGGTTACTTAAATTTTAAGGCAGTATAACAGTTTAATTTTTTCTCATATCATAATTTTGTAGGTTTCATTCAGTATTCCACTTAAATTATAAGTTAGATAATAGAATTTCTTGTTTTATTCCCCTCTAATGTGGCGTATAACAGTTTCAACTCAAAAACAATGAGTCTGGAAAACAGACTTTCTGAAACTTTTTTTTTCTAAATAGAAAACCGTTACATGATTAGAATGTCAAAAACAACTGCCTATATTGTTCGTCGTCGGCTTTCGTTGTTGGCAGTCGAGCCACCTAGACAAACACCTGTATAACAGAATGGAGATACCGCTGCTGCTGGCTGGCTATTTCAGCATCCATTGTGGCCTTTCACTAATGAACGCTTTTGAATTCTATTAAAAGCAGGAAACCAGATTTCAAAGTCAATCAAAAGAAAACACAAAAAAAAAAAAACACAAAACTATAAAACAATTAAAAACAAAGTTTATAACAACAACACCAACAAGCATAGCAGAACCAATGCTAGCTAGCCGTTAACAATTATCTCGAATTACGATATTATAAAACGACAGCAACAACAACGGCTAAACTCAACATCAATGACGTCAAACCAAAGAGTTTTTCCATCACAAAAACCAAAAAAAAAATCTAAAAAAAATATTCATTTCGGACACGTTGAAGTTTGCTATCTCCGGGCAGTGTTGGCAAGACAAAAAGGTTTGACGGTTGACGCCTGTATAACAGCTATCAGGCGATTATAACGCAAATAAAAATCTCAAAGTCCAGAAAGTAGTTGGCCGGATATTGGCTAATGTGATCAATGGGATTTGCTCGTTGGGCTAGTTGTTATATGAAGTTGAAAGAGCTCTCAGCACGTGTCGGATCAAGTGACTGGAGATTGTCACGGCATATCATGTGAAAATCGAGAAAAAATATTGAATTTTTTTGTCTCGATATTCGCCACAAAAACACGATTATTTTTATGGTAGTGCAACCATAAAATCCAGCAAATTATTTTAGAGCTTTTTCCGAACTGTTATATATTTTAATTTTTATTGGTATAACAGTTATTATATCAATCTGTTATACCTATAACAATGTAATCTTATTATTTTCACATGTGTAACATTTTTTTAATTGTATGTACATTTTTGGTATTTTTTACTTGTATAACAGTTATCTCTTAAAACTGTTATACACATAAAGAAGTTAGTATACCAGTGTAATCATATAATCAGGCATATGTTAACTGTTTTTAGTTAAAATTTTTCATTTTTTGTGCTTTACATAAGCTTTTATTTGTATAACAGTTAACTTTCGAAACTGTTATACGTATAACAGTTTTCATAATAGTGTAAATATTCATTAATTGCAACTTTCATAAGTTTTAATGTGTATAACAGTCAATTTTTAGGGCCTGTATACGTATAACTGTTGATAACGGTAACTGTTATACATACAACAGCTTTTATAACAGTTAAAATATGCATTAGTTTTACTTTTCATGCGTTTTTATGTGTATAACAGTTAACTTTTGGAACTGTTATACGTATAACAGTTTTATAACAGTGAATATTTTGTCTTAATTGTACTTTTCAATTGTTTTGTTTTGTAAAACAGTTTATTTCTTAAACTGTTATACGTATAACAGTTGAGAAGGAAAACTGTTACATGTATAACAGCTTTATGACAGTGCATACATTCAATAATTGCACTTTTCATGAGTTTTTATGTGTATAACAGTTAACTTTCGAAACTGTTATACGTATAACAGTTGAGAAGGGTAACTTTTATACGTACAAAAGTTTTACAGCGGTGAAAATATTCATTAATTGTACTTTTGATGAAAATTTTTTTGTCTAACAGTTAATTTTTGAAACTGTTATATGTATAACAGTTGAATATGTTAGCTGTTATGCGTGCAAAAGCTTTTTTGCCATTGAAATTATTCATTGAGTGTGCTTCTCATAACTTTATTTTTGTATAACAGTTAATTTTTGTAACTGTTATACGTAGAGCAGTTGAATATGCTAGCTGTTATACGTATAAAAGCTTTTCAGTCATTGAAATTACACATTAAGTGTGATTCACATACGTTTTTATTTGTATAACGGTTAAGTTTCCAGCTGTTATACGTATAACTGTTAATTTGGGTAACTGTTATACGTATAACAAGTTTATATCGGAGCAAAAATCCATTATTTGTATTTTTCATGTGTTTTAATTTGTATAACAGTTAATTTTTGAAACTGTTATGCGTATAACAGTTGAATATGGTAACTGTTATACGTATAACAGTTGAATGTGGTAACTTTTATACTTATAAAAGCTTTTCTGTCATTGAAATTACACATTAAGTGTGCTTCGCATACGTTTTTATTTGTATAACAGTTAATTTTTAAGGCTGTCATGCGTATAAC